CTTCCGCCTCCTCCTCCTCATCCCTCCTCCTCCTCCTCCTCCTCCTCCTCCTCCTTCTCCTCTTGCACCTCCTGCACCTGGAAGCAGGCAGCTCCAGCCCCTCTTGAAGCCTGTGCCCGAGCCCGTGCCGACTGATGGGGGGGATGGAGCTTAGAGAGATCCTTTGGAGGCCGTGGTTATTTCAAGGGCATTCGGTGGTCAAATGTGATTGGGATGGGCCCGATGGCCAGTGTTTATACTTATGTATAAAGCTTGCGGAGCCTCGGTAGGCCAAGGTCTCGCCTTCGTAAATTCCTCCACCCTTCGGCCCCCAACCATCCTCGGCAGTTTGCTTTTCAAAGGCTTAGTGGAAGATATTGAATGACTGCAGGGGAAGCTGATGGGGCCCAGTGCTGTGCCGACGGGGGGGCGGTGGTGGTGTTGCGTCCTCTTCGGCTGTTGGGTTTTCCTCGGGGCCTGCTGGCGGGCCCCCTTGGGCTCCCGGTGTGGGTCCAGGGACCCCGTCAGTTTCCACCTGTACGGGGTGTCGGTTCCCGCGCTGGACCTGGCCCAAATTTCTCGCCTCCATGGTTTTGTTTCGCCCGATTCGGCGGCCGAAAGGGTTCGGGAATGCAGGCGGGCTAAGCATGAGGCCAAGGCTGAAGGGCTTTGGCCGCAGGAGGGCGACTAGCCCACTTCTCGCCGCTGCGGCGGCAGTCGGACTCTCCGCCAATGGCCCATCCCCATTCCCATTCCCATTCCAATTCTCATTCCCTCCTCCTCCTCCTCCTTCTCCTCCTTTGTTCTCCTTCTCCTCATCATCCTCTTCCTCTTCCACAACAATATGAATACTACGTTCCTCTCTCCCCTGGTGGCTTCCAGGTGTTGTTCGGCGCCCCTCCGCGTATTGGTGTTCTACACCGGATTCCCGGGAGTTGTGTTTTCGCTTGTGTTTTTTTCAAAATGCTGCTCTCGCTGAAGCGCTGGCCTCATGTTCGGGCGACGGCTCGTTGCGAATCGTGCTGCCGCTGCAGCTGGCCTCATTTCCGCGCTTCCGCTCGTTCCGAATCGTACTCCCGCTGTAGCGCTGGCGTCATTCTTGCCAGTACCGTGCCACGGCATGGTTTTCGGCGCTTCCAAATGGCCCCAGAATCTAAGAAAATGCCACCCGAGAAAACCATCGAAAGTGATTACACAGTCGATGCCGATTCGTAGATTTTTGGGTCCGCAGAAGCCCCCCACTTTGGGGCGTCGCCACGCCATGCTATGTCAGGCTACGCGTCCTCATTTCCGCGCTTCTGCGCTTGGGTTTGTGTTCAAAACGCTGCAGCGCTATCCTAATTTTCGGACTGCCGCTCGATCCGAATCGTGCTCCCGCTGCAGCGCTGGCCTCATTTCCGCGCGTCCGCTCGTTCCGAATCGTGCTCCCGCTGCAGCGCTAGCGCCATGACTTCCAGTGCCATGCCACGGCATGGTTTTTGGTCCTTCCAAATAGGCCCCAGGATCTAAAAAATGGCCTCCCGAAGAAACCATCGAAAGTGTTTACACATTCGGTGTCGATTCGTTGAGTTCTGGGGCCGCAGAAGGCCCCCCCCCCACCCATTTGGGGGCGTCTGCCACGCCATGCTATGTCATGCTACGCGTTAAGATTCAACACCATGCTGTGCCATGTAATGCTAGGCCATGCTGCGACATCCGATTGTGCGAGTAGCGAGGATATCTACGCCATGGTAAGGGATGGGAGACACGGGTAGGACGTCACGCGAGCGCACTTAGCTTGTCTACTTGCCCTCTTCTTCTCCCTCCTCCTCCTCCTCCTCCTCCTCCTCCTCATCATCATCATCACCATCATCATCATCGTCATCATCATCAATATCATCATCAGTATCATCCTCCTCCTCATCTCTACGGTCGTCTCCTCTTCTTCCTCCTCGTCATCCTCATCCTCCATTCCTTTCCTGCCCCTTATAACCAATTTCTCCCTGTCGCACCCCGAAGCCAGTTTTTAGGGTGGGCCGTGCGTTTCGCTTTAGACTTCCTCATCATTTATGACCGTGCAGCTTTAAATTGGCAACAGGTTCACAGATGGAGGGCGGGCCGTTTTCAAAATGTTTTAGCATCGCGCACATTCGTTTAACACAAAGTGTACAGAATTTCACGGATTGAGGGCGGTTCCTTTTCAACATGTGTGATTCTCGCTTTAGCGCCGCGCACATTCGTTTTAAACATGTGCAAGAGTTTCACGGATTGAGGGTGGCCCTCGCCTCAGCGCCGTGCACGTTCGTGATAAGAAAATTGCAGGAGCTTCACGGATTGAGGGCGGCGTCTGTTCAAAAGGTGTTTCTCGCCGCAGCGCCGCACACAATCGGTTTTTTTATTCGCAAGAGTTTCACGGAGTGAGGCCCGTTCCTTTTCAAAATGTGATTCTCGCCTGAGCGCCGCGCACATTTGTTCTCAAAAGTTGCCAGAGTTTCACGGATTCCCATGATCAAGGTGCTAGAAATAGGGTTTGTAAGGATTCTGGGTTATGAGGATGCAACCGTTACGTTGGCGTTTTGGCACGACTCAGGATCGTCAAGACGCAACAGTCAGGTTGATCCGTGGCGCTGGAATCCCGAGAACAATGTGTTGGCATGCTTCAGGGTCTTCAAACGGTTGTGCTCCAACGAGGCAGTTCCTTCAGTGGGTATGATACCAGAGAAAAACCAATCATAATCTTCTTCGGGATATAGGGCTATAGTGCTATAGAGCTATTGAGCTATAGGGCTGGAGGGTCATAGGGCTATAGGGCTATAGGGCAATCGGATTATAAGGCTATTAGGCTATAAGGCTATCGGGTTACAGGGCTATAAGGCTATAGGGCTTTAGCGCTATTCGGACTATAGTGCGATAGGGCTACAGGGCTATGGGGCTACAGGGCGATAAGGCTATAAGGCTATAGGCTATAGGGATATGGGGCTACAGGGCACGCGGGCACCTGGGCACATGGGACACCCAAGCACCCAGGCACCTGGGCGTGCCGCCGAAGTCGGCGCCATAGCTAACCTAACCATATGAATCCGCTAGGACCCCTACAGAGGCAAGCTCTGATTGGGGAATGAATCATTGTAGGGGCATATGAAGAGGGAGCTTGGAGGGAGGGTTTATTCCAACATCGTTGACGACCGGGGTTTACACTGGTCCTTGTCCTCCTCCTCCGCCTCCGCCTCCACCTCCGCCTCCACCTCCGCCTCCGCCTCCTCATCCTCGTCCTTCTCCTCCTCCTCCATCCCTCCTCCTCCTCCTCCTCCTCCTCCTCCTCTTATCCCTCCTCTCATTCTTCCTCCTCCTCGACACCCCTCCTCTTCCTGTTCCCACGTAGCGAAAAACAAAACATCGTGAAACATTACGACCGGATCGCCAGACCCGATTTTTGGCGCTATGTTTCAAGCCGGCTTGAAACCATTGAGACGCCAGGATCTTAGGGCCCCCTCCTCGTCATCCACATCCCTCCTCCTCGTCACCCACAACCGCATCCCCTCCTCCTCCTCCCCTCCAACCCGGGAGGTGCACGCTCGCAGAAGAGCACGCCAGCCCCGGCCTCGCTCGGGAGGCTCGTGCCTGTCGCTTTCGTGGCCCCTCCGCCCGCCAATTGCGCGCGATCTCGATGCACACACCTCGAGGTCTCCTTTTACTCCTTCTCCTCCTCCTCCTCCTCCTCCTCCTCCTCCTCATCTTCCTCCTCCTTGCTCAAAGACCCAGGTATCCGACGAGATGATTTTCTTCAATCCAGGCGTTTTTCTTCGATTCCGGCCTCAGATGCCCGTCATCCATGTCCCGTGCCTCGATGTCGGCCTCCGCGGCGGGCAAGGATCAGGAGGGGAAGAAACACACAGACACAGTTCATCGTCGATTCCCAGGAAAATATGGGAAAATATTGGAAGTGGGGGAAGACAAAAACCCAGAAAATATGGGAACATATGGGGAATCCTTTTCTTTGTGTGGATTTATTTGTGTGTCCCAGGGCCCCCTTAAAGGAGTCGAGACCTCTGGGGCAGCGGATGGGAAAAAGCAGATCGGCAGATGGCAGGGTCTTCCGCTTGCATCGAGAAGGACAACGACGACGAGGCGGGAGAGAGAAGCACCACGGCGGACGCCTTCTAGCCAGTTCGCGGCCTCCAGGGGCCTTCCACAGGCCCCCTTGGCCCTTGGACCGTCAGAGCGCTCCTCTGGATGCGACGGACGGTCCCCAGGAAGTGCTCTCAACCTCTGGGGTCCACGTCAACACATCGCGACGTCGGAGGTCTGGCCGCGGGGGGGGTCGTGCCCCCCACCCTCGCCTCTGCGAGCAAAGTCGACGTCGAGCACGTTGCGCTCGCACGCACTTGTGCCGTCGTCGTCGCCCCACCGCCCTGTACGCGCGGCCAGCATTGCTGAATGAGTTGGCTTCGGCCCCACCGCCAGGGACAGAGAGCACGGGGATCAAGAACCGCCCCAGCTTTGGAGGGGTACTCAGATGTTCTGCATGATTGGGTCATCCGCCTTAGAACATCCTTCGTGCGGTGTAGATTCTTAGTTTCTCAGGCCTCCGGCGAGTGGACGCCTGTTCTTGCTCAATGTTATTATGGCCATGTTTCGATTGCAACCTCCCCGATAAACGGTCTTTGCTGGTACCTCGATGCGCCAGAAAAGCCAGCAACAGGTAAGTGATTCGCTACCCTTCTTTGCCAACTGCCGATGTTTGGCGCACTTAGCACCTAGCGCTAATTCGGCACCCTGACCCCACGCCTGCTCTGTGATGCGGTGTTGGCGAGCAGGCAAAAGAGTGGGGTCTGCTCCCTTGTGGTGTCATGTGGCCTCTGGCCTACCCCGCCACCATACCTTTGGGGCACAGTGCCCCTTGGGGGCATGCAGGGAAACCCAGGGTATATCAGGGCAGGGGGAATGGGAAGAAGGAGGAGAAGGGAAGGGTAGAGGAGAACGAGGGGAAAGAGGGGTTTCGGATGAAGAGTGAGGAAGGAGGGAGGGAGGGAGGAAGAAGTAGGTAAAGGGGGGAAGGGGGGAATGGAAGGAGGGGGGTGAAGCGGCAGGTGTGGGACAGGGGTGGCTGAGAGCGCTTTGTTGGGGAAGCAACGCCACGCTGCGGCGAAGGTGTGCAACATCTTGGTTCTCTACAACATCTACACATGGCTGCATATAGTGCCCATGATCAACCACGAGAACACTCGCAGCCGAGGACCGGGTAGGGTGGTGTCGGAGGAACAAAAAGAAGGGAGAGGAGAGGATGACAAGGGAACTGCGTACGAACCCGTGTCCAGATCAAAGGTCGATTGGGGAACAAAACGGAGCACAGGGAAGGGGGCGGAGAGAGAAAGAGAGAGAAAGAGAGAGGGGGAGGGTGGCATTGGGAAAATCAGACAAACCACAAGGTATTCGGCAGAGCTGACGCTGTAGTCACGTTGTGCAAGACCATTGAAGCGAGAGCGAGGAGAAATGCCTGATGAAATATGAGTGGCAGGGAGACGCACGGACAAAGAAGCAGCAGGATACATGCGCAAGCACGCAGAACCCGCTCCTGCGCGGATGCGCCCAGACCGTCTTCTGCCGAGACGCCTACTCTTACCGCCACGGGGCGACCGCCGCTTCGAGTTGTTACAATGCTCCTCCCAATGGCATTCCCTTTCCTCTTCCGGTTCATTATCCTCCTCCTCTTCCTTCTCCTTCTCCTCCTCCTCGTCTTCCTCTCCCTCCTGGTTCTCTTCTGCGGCTTCTCCTGCTCACGATTGCCCTCGACGGGTAAGGGAGCGCGAGGTATGGCCGAGGGCTGTGTTTTCAACATCCTCGTCGGCCTGATGACCATATGCTACGCTCGGTGCACGTTGACCCCATTGATCCTGCCTCCCTCCCCCCCCCCCATCCCCCTCTGCCCCCCCCCTCCCCCTTCTCCTCTTCGTCGCATGCCTCCTCTTTCCCGTCCTCGTGGGGGGGGCAGGGGTACACGACGAGAAGCGAGAGCGCGGGGAAAGCGGGATTGGCGAAAGGAAATGTGAGCACATCCACGAGAGCAAGGAGGAAGGAGAAAGCGGAGGTAGACGTGGAGAATGCGGATGGGGAGGAGCAGGAGGAGCAGGTGTAGGAGGAGGAGGCAGACGAGCAGCAGCTGCGGTCCTTGGCCGTCCCCTCTGATCTCGCACGCCTCACGGCGACAGGAAAGGTGGTGCTGGGCCAGTGAGTCACTCCAGTAAGGTGTTTCTTCTGGTTGTCGGTGCTCTCTAGTTTAAGTGGTTGCCCCGGCCGCCCCCGCCCGCTCGCCGCAGCCCTGCTGCGTGAGTGTCCCCCCCGCCCGGCCCCCCCTCCCGCGGCCGCCTCTGTCGCCTTCCCCCCCACCCCTCTCGCATGCGGGTAATTCGCGATACCGTGCCTCCTGGTCTCACCCGAACGCGCGTGCGGATTGCCTCTGCCGCGCTGCGACGTAGAGATTTGTCTGGTCACCTCGGGTGTACAGTCGGGGCCCTGAAGAAGGAACCCTTTTCGTTGGGGAGGGGCTCCGTGTTCCTTAAGTGTTTCGCAGCTTGCCTAGGACTTTCCTTAGGTTTTCGATACGAAATCGAAGTTCAACTTATGGAAAAAAGGGGCCTCGTTCCTTATGTAGGGTTCCTTAGGTCAACGCCCCGACTGTACCCCGGATGCTTCGTGTCTGTTTCATCGACCTTCGGTAGGTTCCTCTTGCGTGCCGGTGTAACGCCCAAGGGCCGTGTTAGAGGGCAAGAGGCCGCGAGGCGAGCGTGGGCGGCGGCGGCACGTGGATGTACATGGGCGCCAGCCGAAATTTCGGCTGATCTTTGCCATCTTGAGGAAGATGTGGTCGGATGTTGAGGGGATGCTCACCACCCACCAAACCACCCCAACCCAACCCGAAGGCTCAGATTTGCCCTCCATTTCCAGTGGGGGGGGTTCGCGGAACATCGAAAAAACACGTATGGAACCCTTACCCCCCCCAACCCGAAATTCGGGTCTTCGGGTTGGGTTGGGGTGGTCTGGTAGGTAGTCAGATGCGCCCATGTCGGCCAGATCTGAAGCCCCGGAGAGGCCCGAAGCCCTCGCGTTCCCCGCCGTCGCCCTTGTGAACAACGCCGACGTCGATCGAAAATGTACCCATCGGTCGCCGAAAGTAGGTATTTTTGGGTTCACTGAGTCCAATATACTTTAAGCGCCTTCCTACTTCAATGATCGAGTGGCTTCACCTTTTCCGTCCTCCTTAGGGGGCGGGCGGAACCCAATCTACTCTCAACGCCTCCCTACTTCATGTTTCTACCTTCTCCTTCAGACCAATGGGTATGCCCGCGCGCACATACAACAAACAGTTCAGACGCTCATGCACCCAACGGACCTCATACTCCGAGCCGGTCTGAGCGCAGTGATGCCAGACGCGCGTTTGTGAGAACAGCCGCGTGCCACAGCCTCGTCTCGAATGACACCCTAGAGAGCGTGACGGCCCCCGCAGAAATCAAGGTGCGTGGCCATTCCTCCCCTTGTGCTGTCGAAAGGCGGGTAGGAGCTTGTGGAGCTCCGCATTCATATTTCCGGACGTCTGTTTCCGGCAGTTGTGGGACTTGCAGCTGGCACCTCTTCCATAGACGGCCGACGAACACTTCTCTTCTGGGGACATGTGTATGAGAATTGCGCCGCGGTGGGTATCATTCAGTTCATTACTGTGGAATTAGCCACTTGCGCCTCGCAGCGCGTCAGTCTTACTGCACCTCCAGCATTTCGTTGTTCTCGTAACGCCCAGGATTCCACTGCCAAGATCTCCTCCCCAAGGCCGAAGGAAAAGGTCGTGATGCGATACCACATTGAGCCCCTCATGGTGCCAGGCTCGTCAGAAGCCTCCTCCCAGCGCCTCCGAGAATCCCTTGCTTGTCTGAGCGAACGCGGCATCGCATCATCTCTCCCCCGGCGCGAGCCGAGACCCCTTCGTGCCGCGGTCTGAGGGCCGCGGCCCCCGAGGCAGAAGCCCCCCTCCGCTCGATTCGGACCACGCCGCCGCTGGGCGCGCGAGGGGCTCGTGACTTCCCTGCCCCCGGCCCTTGCCGCCGAGGTCGTGCCGCCTCCCCCACAGTCCCTCCCACAGTCCCTCCCTCTCCACCTCTCCCTGATGCCGTCCACCGCTTCACCCCCCCCCCCCCACAGTCCCTCCCACAGTCCCTCCCTCTCCACCTCTCCCTGATGCCGTCCGCCGCTTCCCCACCCCCCCCCCTCTCCTGCCCGAGAGCCTGCTTCGGGGGCCTTGTTGCCTCTACAGGTGGGAACGGAGGGTGGTTCTCCAGGAGGTCACGGGCAGGCTTCTGGAGGCCAACGGCATTGCAGTAACCAGCTGCTCGCTCGTGCGCCACCTCGTTGGCCAAGGTTTTGCTGCTTGTGATTCTGACGCGAGCCGATTCCCTCGCCCCGATTGTCACAATTAAGAGCGTCATCGAGGACGCGTTGTTCCACGCCCTGGGAGGCCAGAAGGCGGTCCCGGACCAGCTGGGCCGCGCCTTCAACTCGGTGGTGGATGCGGTCCAGGAGCAAGGTCCCCCTGTCCCGTGGGAGAACAGCAGGCTGCCTTGCCAGTTCGTCGGCATTGGCCGCCGATATCGCGGCGGTGCTGCCCCTGCAGTTGGCGGACCGAGAGCGGTCTCACAGAGAGCTGGGTGAGGACGCTACGGACGGGGGGGTGTCGGAGAGTCAGCACGCATCTTTCGGGGGTGGACAGAACCCCCAACAGTGACACGTCGATTAGTGAATTGTCCGTTTTCGGTTCTCGAGAGGGCGCCGTGGCCGTTATTTTCCAGGCCTGCGCCCGCCAGGTTTGGGCCTCAGAGCGTTTTCATTAGACCACGTTTTACTAAAGGGGGGTCTGTCCATCCCCGAATCTCGATAGGCATGTACCGCGCAGCCTCGCGGCGGGCGCTGCAGCCATGCACGCCGCAGGGTGCAGGGGGGGGGGGGGGGGGGGGGCGCAGCATTAGGGGTGCACCGTGCGGGCCCCACGGCTATGTCGCAGCGCGGGGGGGCTCGTGCCCACGGTTTGGGAGACACGCGGCTCCACTCGGCGGCGAGCGAGGGGGGGAAGTGAGAAGGAGAAGGCCTTCTCAGAAGGCGGCGTGGCTTCTCAGAAGTCCTCGCGCCTTCCGAGAGGTATGCTTGGCGTCGTCGGGGAGGGCTTCGAGAACTTCTCTGAAGTCTGGGGGACTTCTGAGCCTTCCGAGAAGGCCCGCCTCTTCTCACTTCCCCCCCAGGCGCGCCGCCTATCCACGGCCTCAGGGCTCTTGCGGCTCATGCGGAAGGGCGCTTCCCTGGGGGCACGTCGGTCGGGCTCTACCGTGGCTGCGGGCGACAGGGTTGGAGGCGCGACCCACTGGTGCTTGCCACGGCCGATTCGATGCACCAGTACCGCGAGGTCCTCGGCGATGCGCAGCTGTCCAGACCGGTGCTCGAGGCGTTCGTTGCGGCCGGCCAGGCCAACGCTGATTCAGCCAGGCCATGGGTCGCCTGCAAGGACCCAGTTGCGGCCATGGCTATAACGGCCCAGCGTGCAGGCTGGATGCTCAAGGATGCTGGGACGGCGGTGGACGATCGGGGGGCGGAGTGGGACCTTCAATTTTAGTCGCCTGCATGCGTGGCGGCCCAGATTTCGTTCGCCGCCCGAAAGGCTTCGGACGTCCGAGCGCTGTCGCTGCAGGACGCCTCAGCCTGGGCTTCCAATATCTGCTGGCGCCCGATCCTCCAGCTCTTGGTTTCGGACTGGACCGATACTTGGCGGCTGCCACGAACACAACGCGTTGCGAGGTTTCGTTTCGGGGTCCCATTGGACCCAAGCTCGGCTCCACGATCTGGAACCCACCTTGCCTGATGTTTGCCAGCTACGCCAGGGAGCTCGTGGAACTTAGTCTCACAGATGCTACCAGTGCCCTGCCCAGGATGCGAGGCGCAGAGATTAGGGAAACAAAAAGTGGCATAAACATTAAAACTCGGAGGTCCGCGCGGATTTCTCGGATCGGCGCTGGGGCCCCCCGGCGGCGCCTCCGGCGCCGCCCCTGGCGCGTTCCGCTCGCCAGGGAGGGGGGTCCAGCGCCGATCCGAAAAATCCGCGCGGACCTTCGAGTTTCTATGTTTATGTAACTTTTTGTTCCCCTAGAAATTGTCTCCCGTCGGAGCTTAAAAGGGCTGCCGCTAGGACTGCGGACAGTCCAGAAGGCCGGAAGGAACGGTCTGCGCGTGGTGCGTCTCCTGAGCCTGGGCAGCGCATGGGGCACCAACCGCTCAGTCCAGCCCGGAGGTTCCCTGCCTCTGCAGGCGTGCAGCTGCTAATCCTCCTGGAAGGAGGTGTTGCTTTCACCGACGGCTCTGGGTGATCAGCTCCACCCGTCGCTGCGAGTTGCTGGCTGGGCAGTGGGCTCTACGATGCCGAGCAAAGGTACGTGGGGGCATTGTTTGGACGGGTCCTTCCCGAATTCGGAGTTTCGAGCACGGCTCGAGACGGTGAGGACCACGCTGCTTTGATGTGCTCCCAGCACGTGCTGGGCAGGTATGCGGTGCGGGCCGACTGCAAGAGCACTCTCAGCTGTTGCCGTTCGGTGGAAACGTCTACTAGCCCCTGCAATCCGCGCGCCCATTTGCGTCGCAGAGTTCACAGCAGGGAGGATTTCGCGACTCGCCCATTCGACCACGTCAAAGCCCACGCGACGGCATCAGACGTGGAGCGCGATCGAATCTCGGAGTCTGACCACGATGGCAACTCCGCGGCGGACCGATTTGCGAAAATGGGGGCGTCCCTCGGCAGGTCTTCGCAGTGTGATGTGCACTTGTTGGACGGATACCAATGTATAGCTCGGTTGGCCTGCAAATTTCAGCTCGCCTGCCGGCCGCTATGGGGGCTTCGGAGGCACGAGATAATATGGGCGTCGATTTTTTGAAGAAGGTTGACGTGGGGATATGCCCACCAGGGCTTTTTGTCGAGGAGATCCTTTAGGCGGACCCCATTCCAGATCCTCTCGTTCCTCCTGCCGTGGAGCCTTCTGCTTCTGGCGCTGCTCCCCCTCCGGACCCGGCCTCAGGAGACCCCGAGTGGATTGTCAGCTGTGGTGTGCAGCCTTGGAGGGTCAACCAGCATTGTATAGTTCAGTGTGTTGTGCCTGTTGATGGGCACATGAATGTCTGTTCCTCTTGTGGGCAGTTTGCCACCACCCCGATGCAGCGGGGCATCAGGCCAGTGCAAGGGCTCAAGGTCTATCTCTGGCGGTTCGGCGTATACTGTGCGCAAGAAGCTGCGGGACGGACATCATCCCACCAGGTTTCCCCTCGTGCCGTTTGGACCCAGTGAGGCTCCAACGGAGGTCACGCGAGCGCGTTTCTCAAGGCATTTCGGCTTGGACCAAGTTGAGGTCCAGGTCGGGCCCGCGGCTCCCAGGCTCGGGCTTGAGTCCCTACTGCTCGCGTTGGGCTTCAGCAACAGGGCTGAGGCAGAAGAATTCAGTCGGAAGGTCCTTGCACCAAGGCCCTTGCGGACCGAGCCGAGGCCCAGGCCAGACGGGCGGCAGGAGCCGATCTTGAGGCTGACGAGTGAGTTCTGGGGGGGGGCCCTGCCGGCGGGCTTAGGCAGGGCTGGTCATACCCTGCCTAGGAACCAAAAGTTCTCCTTTGGAAGGCGCCCCCCCCCCCATATTTTCCCGCTCTCTCTCTACCCTCGACCTTTTTCCCTCTATGGACAGTGAACTTCATCCTGCTTCTCCTCCTCTTCCTTCTCCTCCTCCTCCTCCTCCTCCTTCTCCTCCACCTCCTCCTCCTCCTCCACCTCCTCCTCCAGCTCCTCCTCCTTTTCCTGCTTATCTCCCACTTCCTCCTCCAATGTCCACAGCTCCCGAATGAGAGATTGCGCATAACACGACGGGGTCATTCTTGGGGGTTCCAGATCCGCTACGAAACCCAGCAGCAGATGGAGAACCAAACAGCACACTGGAAGGGACGTGTGGGAGGGGTAGGATGGCATCTATGGCGCGAGCGCACTTAGCTTGTCCTCTCCCCTTTCCTACCTCCTCCATCTCTCCTCCTTTTCCTTTTCCTTCTCCTCCTCCTCCTCCTTCTCCTCCTCCTCCTTCTCCTCCTCCTCCTCCTCCTCCTCCTCCTCCTCCTCCTCCTCCTCCTCCTCCTCCTCCTCATCCCTCCTCCTCCTCCTTCTCCTTTTTCCCCCCCTCCTCGATGTGAGCATCGCGTCCTCCGCGCGTCGCCTCGGACAGGTGCCTCCTGACGTCGCCGGGCGGCATCCCCGACAGGGAGCAGGACCCCGCCTGGGAGTACGTCGGCCAGGACCTCCGCCTGCGTTGCGAAGATCTGATTTTGTTTTGCTCGATGTCGACCCTTCGGGGCGACACAAAATGTCGGTGTTTGCGTACCAGGGCGTTTTCTTCTGCGGAGTTGGGCGCCCTGGCGCGGACGGCCGCACGACCCCTGCAGCGGGACGCCCTGGCCACGCGGTCGCCGCCGCAAAAGCTGCCCGTTCGAGGCTGGCGCCGCGCAGACGCGGCGCCGAGCAGCCCGTGGTCGGCCCCAGGGGCCACCGAGAACGAATCAGGCACGCAGAACTGCACCCCGGGAAGGGCCTGGGACCTCCGGGCCTGTAGCGCCGCCGCCCGCCCGCCATTGTCGGCTGTTCGTTGTCATCTTCATCAGCATCGCCATCAGCATCGCCATCGTCATCGCCGTCATCATCGTCGTCGTCACCGTCGCCGTCATCAGCATTATCGTCAGCAACAGCAGTAGAATCAGCATCATCATAATCCTCAGCATCGCCATCACCACCACCTCCACCCTCGTCACCACCGCCATCATCATCATCATCATCATCATCATATCCATCATAATCACCACCATCGTCCTCATCGGCCGCATCATCGTTATCATCAGCAGCAGCAGCATCAGCATCAGCATCATCATCAGGAAAAGCACCATCAGCAGCATCATAATCAGCATGATATATATATATATACACACATATATATACATATATACCCTCACCATGCTCACCATAACCATCACAAATCGTCATAGTCATAATCATCATCAGCACCACCACAATCATCATCGTCATCTCCATCATCACCGTCATCGTCATCATCATCATCATCAACAACAGCATCATCATCATCACATAATCAGCAGCAGAATCATCGTCGGCATCGTCGGCGTTGTCATTGCTGCCATCGCTGGTATCATCACCACTGTCACCAGCATCATAATCATAATCCTCACCAACATCATCATCATCATAATCAACATCGTCATCATCGCCATTACCATCATCAGTATCATCTTACTCGGCACCATCACCAGCATCACCAACATCAGCAACAGTATCATGATCATCATCATCATCATCGTCATCATCAATCTCATCATCCGCATCACCATCGTCATCATCAGCACCATCGTCGTCAGCATCGCCAGGCTCATCTTCATGTGTATCTTCATTTTCATCATCATTAACATAGCAATCCCCACCCCATCCCCATCCCTATCCCCGTCCTTCTCGTGCTCCCGCTCTTGTTAATCCTCCGCCTACTAGCACCCAGCCCCTGCTGATGTTGCTTGTGTTTCCTCATCTTGCTTCTCTTGCTATGTTTTTTGCTCTGGCTATAGTTTTGGCTCTGACGCACCCTCCTCAACCTGCTTCGAGGATGGACCTTCGCATACGTCTACAGGCTACATAATTAGGCTTGCGCTTTTAGGTTCAGAGACAGGATAAAAAAATGTAGAGTATATGATCCAAGCTTGCACCACCCCAAACGCATGTGGGATCGAGAGCCCCCCTCCCGCTGGATGGATACGCCCGTGAGCCTCGCGAAGGCCTCGCGAATGGGATCGTTTCCCCCCCCTAGGGTCGTGGCCCGTTTGGCGTGGCGTGGTAGAGGGTGTCGGTGGTCCTCCCCTTTTGGGTGTGGTGTGGTTCGTCGTCGTCGTCTTCCGTCGTCGTCGTCTTCCGTCTTCGTCGGCGTCGTCGTTGTCGTCGAAGTCATCGTCGTCGTCGCCGGCGTCGGCGTCGGCGTCGGCGTCAGCGTCAGCGTCGTCGTCGCCGTCGGCGTCGGCATCGGCATCGGCGTCGGCGTCGGCGTCGGCGTCTGCATCGGCGTCCGTCGGCGTCGGCGTCGGCGTCGTCGACGTCGACGCCGTCGGCGTCGTCGTCGTCGCCCCCCCCATCCCATCGATAGGGGGGTCTGTGGAATCCGGTGGCCCATCACATCTGGGAGGGCGGTTTTGAACCTTCGACCTGGGATCCTATATATATATATATGTATGTATGTGTATATATATATACAAAAGAGAGAACATGATGGACATACATACATATTTATATATCTATGTACAGATTGTTCTATACATAGGGAAAAGAGAAACGCTACATAATAATCCCACATTCTTATGTTATGTCCTACGTGAACCGCACTACCACTACCACCGACACCATACTCTCTGGTACCCCCGCGCTCAGAGACCACCCATTTCGCACCCCCTACGGTGTCATGAAACTGCTACGTCTGCAAGGCTTTGCGACAGTGTCGTGGATAGCGGCCGCGCTCAGAGACCAGCCCTTGCGTACCCACTATGGCGTCGAGAAAGTGCCACGCCTGCTGTGCCTGGACGACCGGCGCGCATTGTGGCCGCGGTGAGAGACCACCCCCTGTGCACGCCCTATGGTGTCGAGAAAGTGCCACGCCTGCTTTGCGCTGGACGACCAGCGCGGATAGAAAAACCACTCCTTGCGCACCCCCTACGGTATCGAGAAAGTGCCACGCCTGCTATGCCCTGAACGACAGGCGCGAATAGGGAGACCACCCCCTGCGCACCCCCTATGGTGTCGAGAAAGTGCCACGCCTGCTATGCCCTGGACGACCGGCGCGGATAGAAAAACCACTCCTTGCGCACCCCCTACTGTGCTCACAAAGCGCCACGCCTGCTATGCCCCAGACGTTAGGCGCGGATAGGGAAACCACCCCTTGCGCACCCCCTATGGAATCGAGAAAGCGCCACGCCTGCGATGCCCTGGACGACCGGCGTGGATAGGGAGCCCACCCCCTGAGCAACCCCTATGGTGTCGAGAAAGTGCCACGCCTGCTATGCCTGGACGACTGGGGCGTGCTGTGCTGTGCTGTGCTGTGCTCTGCTGAGCTGTGCTGTGCTGTCCTGTGCTGTGCTGCGGTCTGCTGCGCTGCAGGTCATGTGCGTGTGTCTGTGTGTGTGAAGAGAGGGAGAAGGAGAGGGAGGCGGGTGAGGAAGACGCGGGTGCGGCGCGGCAGGGAAGAAAACCAGAACCCCACGAAACAGGTGGGGATTCGTTGTTCCTGTTATATATATACATATATATACACACACCAAAAAAACTGCGCACGAGGTGGGGGGGCGCGGGAGGGGGCCCTCGACGTTCCATGGCGGGACCGGGCCACCAGGGACGCCCCCAGACGGCCCAAGACAGCCCCAACACAGCTGAAAAGTACCGCGGGAGGCTTCCAAGAAGCTTAGTGTCGCGGAAATTTCGCTCTAACACGCCCCAGATGGCCTCCGAATGGCCCACCAGGCTTCCAACACGGCCCAAAGGGCCCCCGAGAGCACACCCAAAAGGTTCCCAATGAAGCCACGTTTCTTGGTACATTGGTACATTGGTTCTCCCACGGTTCTTGGTACATTGTAGCGTTTCTGCTTGTTTGGCTTTCCGACGCTCCAAGACGGTCCAGGACACCAGAAAATCATCCATCCAGGTTTCCACTGGGGCGCCGAGGCGGCCCAGGGCCGCTCCCAGACGGCCCAAGAAATCCCCAACACTGTTGACAAGGGCCGCCAGAAGGCCTCCAAGAGGCCCCGAAACGCGGACACATCGCTCGAGCACGCCCAAGATGGCCTCCAGATGGCCCAACGGGCTTCCAACACGGCCCAAGGGGCCCCAAAGAGCACACCCAAAAGGGCCCCAAGAAGCCAGAATCACTGATTGTCACGTCAGTCCCAGACACCCAAATATCGCAACAGGCCCTCACGAGGGCGCCGAGACGGCCCCGGGACGCCCCCACACGGCCCGAGACAGCCCCAACACAGTTGAAAAGGGCGACGAGAGGCCTCCAAGAGAGTTGTGACACGCCCAGGATGGCCTCCAGATGGCCCACAAGGCTGTCAACACGGCCCAAGGAATCCCCAAGAGCACCCCCAAAAGCGCCCCAAGGAGCCACAGTCTGTGATTTTCCCTGAGTTTTTGGTGCGTTTCAGCGTTTCTGCATGTTCAGCTTCCCGACGCCCCAAGACAGTCCCAGACACCCGAATATCGCCCCAACAGGTCCCCACGAGGGCGCCGAGACGGCCCCGGGACGTCCCCAGACGGCCCAAGACAACCCCAACACAGCTGAAAAGGGCCGCGAGGGGTTTCCAAGAGGGCTACAGTCGCGGAAGTATCGTTTTAACGCGCCCAAGATGGCCTTCAGATGGCCCACAAGGCTTCCAACACGGCCCAAGCGGTTCCCAAGAGCATTCCGAAAAGGGCCCCAAGAAGCCAAAATCCTTGATGTTCCATCGGTTAGGAGGCACATTTTAGCGATCATGCCTGTTCCGCTTCCCGACGCTCCAAGACGATCCCGGACACCCCCGTATCGCCCCAACAGGCCCCCATGAGGGTGCCGAGACGGCCCCGGGACGCCCCCAGACGGCCCAAGACAGCCCCAACACAGTTGAAAAGGGCCGCGAGAGGCTTCCAAGAGGCCCCGAAATGCGGACATCGCTCGAACACGCCCAAAATTGCCTCCAGATGGCCCACAAGGCTTCCACCACGGCCCAAGGGATCTATCTGCAAGAGCACTCCTCCAATAAGCCAAGATCGGGCAGGCCCAGAAGCCCGCAGTTCTCCGAGACATCAAGAGCTTCGAATCCATGATTGAGGGTGCAGCGGAACGTGGACGAGTCAGGGCACAAGGGATGCGGGCCACTTGACAAACAGGCTGTGCTAGTGCGGATGAGCTGGCACAGCCAGCACGAGGGTTAAGAACAATCCTGGCAGCTGGCACAGCCAGCACGAGGGTTAAGAACAATCCTGGCATGCGGGGGGGGGGGGGGGGACATTGATGTTGCTCGTGTCTGGGCTCTCCACCCTGGAACGCTCTTCGCTTCGGGTATCTCCACAGGGCCCCGATTCTTCGGCGTCGGGGTTCTTGTCCTCGGCCCGCGCCATCACGACAATGGCTCGACTGCACACCGTGCCACACCGCAGGGCCCACGTGCGCCAACACGTGCAGCACGTGCTCCGTGTGCGGCCTCCGCGGCGCGCCAACCTCGGCGCTCGCCGCCTCGCCAGACGAAGGGGGTGCTCCAGTGGCCGTCATGGGCTTGGCATCGCTCGGACGTGTGCATTTTTCCTTCGGCGAGAACCATCGAGGAGCATCCTTGATCATTTGGCAAAAAAACCACGCACGAAACCGAAAAAAACACGGGAAATGGACGTCCGAGCGATGGCGAGTGGGGGGAGCGGTTCCAAGAACGTCCTTCCGAGCTCACCCTCAGGCGATCGCAGACGTGCATTAAGGGGGCGTGGATTAGTGACGGGTCACGTTTCCATGGGGAATCGCGGATTGCCGCCGCCGAGCGAGGGGGCACCGGCCGCATTTCGGAGAGGGCAATTTCCCCGATTCATGGATTTAGCGACCGCTCGCCAAATCCATGGATCGCTAATCCATCTCTGCGCGCCCCCGACACCCCCCATGGGGAGCAACCACAGAGCCAGAGCCGATTGCCAGTCTGCGGCTCGCACCACACAGCGCGAGGTCGATGACCAGCTGGCTGTACGTGTGCGTGACATGTTTGCTGGCCCCACCCGACGTGAGGCGCATTAAAGCTGACTGCTCGTGTATGTGACACGTTTGCTGACCCCACTGACCCAGGACGTGAGGCGCATCAAAAATCCCACCGATCCCAGGAGGAAATCCAGGAGCTGCCTAACCATGAGCGCGCATTCGCTCTGGGCGATGCGGCGGTTGGGCAGGCATTCCGAGACAGCGTGACAGATGCGTGACGTTGCGGCGGGAATATCTACAGCAGCCCAGCGGGTTGGCTGTTTCTGGAAATTGGCCGTTGTTACCCTGCGATGCGACGTACACGCTGGCACGAGTGGCAGAACGAGCCTGGATCACAACGCATGAACGGCTTGCTGTCCGCGAACGGGCCACGAGAAGAGCTCCTGCTATAAGGGTGCAAGTAGCTCCATGTTTTCTCAAACCGCTGCCTGCGGATCCCAGAGGTCGTCAGATCGCTGCCGCTGCTGGGATGGAGGCTCCCGGTGCTGCGCGTCCCCGCTCCCAGCGACGAGCCCGAGAGCAGCGGCACTGGGTGGCAGGGCTGGACCTAAACGGTGCTTTTGATGATTTCGTGGGCCGTTTTCGTTTCGATTTCGTTTTGCGGTAAAAGCGGATTTGAGACCAAAGCGAGGGACAACGACAGCACAACGAACATGAGAAACACACCGTTGAGGCTCTCAGCCCTGCTGGGTGGCATGCCGAACACGGAGTCGGGCCACGAGGCGGGGCACGCACAGTCCGGACGCTCGGACGAGGACACCACTTCGGGCGCCGGAGAAGCCACATGCCCACTGTCGGGGAGACGTAAGACCCGGGTACGGGGGACTCGGGTTGGCCCGACGAGGTCGTCAAAAAAATGACGAGGCCGAGCCTGCATTTTGACGAGGCCTCCCGCTGCAGACATCCCACGAAACTCCTCCTCGTCAAAATCCGAGGCGCGGTCGTCAAAAAACGATGGCGAACCCGAGTCCTGGCAAACCCGGGTCTTACGCTCCCCCGACACTGGCCATCGACGCCGTCGACGTCGACGGCGACGGCGTCGGCAGGGCCGTCGACGACGGCGACGTCGTCTTCGGGCCGCCCCCCTCGGCCCGCGGGGCCCGCGAGCGGGCTGGGCCGCCCGGAGAGAGCCCCGCCGCCCAGGACGGCCGGCCGAGCCAGATGCGCGAGGGGCTGATCGAGACGAAGCGGGACGGGCAGCGCAGGCCCCGCCGGCGGACCGCGGCGGGCGGGGGGGGGGCGCAGCGGGGGGAGGCTGGAGGAGAAGAAGAGGAGAAGAAGAGGAGGAGGAGGAGGAGGAGGAAGAGGAAGAGGAAGGGGAAGAGGAAGAAGACGAAGAAGACGAGGGAGGAAGAGGAAGACGAAGGAGACGAAGGAGACGAAGGAGGAAGAGGAAGAGGAAGAAGGAGAAGAAGAGGACGAGGAGGAAGAGGAAGAAGGAAAGGAAAAATAATAATAATAAGAAGAAGAAGAAGAAGAATAAGACGAAGAAGAAGACGAAGAAGAAGACGAAGGAAGAAGCGGCGGGGCGTCGGGAGGTTGGCGGAGGTCGGGGGACGGCGACGGAGGTCGGCGCCGGCGGACCGGAGGGGGAGGGGGGGAGGAGGACTGCGCGGAAGACGGGCAGCGCAGGCCGGGCCGCCCTCGATCCGATCCGATGAGATCCAGTGCGCGGGCCCGGCCCGCGCTTCCAGTTCGGCTCGGCGTGGCCCGACTCGCCGACATCGGCCGGGGCCAGCCTGAGCGAGTCGCGGCGATCCGGCCTCGAGTCGCTTCGGGGCGCTTCGCGGGCGATCTCCTCCTCCTCCTCCTCCTCCTCCTCCTCCTCCTCCTCCTCCTCCTCCTCCTCCTCCTCCTCCTCCTCCTCCTCCCCCTCCCCCTCCTCCTCATGCGTTTCCGCTCCGAGCCGGCCTCGCGGTGCGATGCAGCTCGGCCTCGGCAGGCCCTGCTGGCGGACGGGGCGGGCGGGCGGGCCTCGGGGGCAGGCCGAAGGAGAGCAGGGCGAGGGTCGGACAAGACAAGACAAGACAAGCGCTCCGAAGAACCTCTGGTCGACTGAGCTACCTCGATCTACTCTAGGTTCGGAGGAAAATCCCGAAGGGGACGGAAAGCGGGGCGAGGTGGACCTTCGGAGCATCGCCGAAGGCTAGCATCGCCGAAGGCGAGGGTCGGAGGGGGGAGGGAGCGAGATGCCGAGGCGGCTCGTCCAGGAGAGCCCTTGTCGCCACAGCTGGAGTCTCACCGGGATCCTGGCTAGAAGACACCCCTGAAGGGGTCCGGGGCGGTGAAGAAGAAGAAGAAGAAGGAGAAGAAGGAGAAGAAGAAGCGAGGGGGGGGGATCGGCGGACCGGGGCGGGGAGGCGGGCATCGGGGGGGAGGTCGAGGAAGAATCAAACATCCAGATCTCCGACGGTGTGATCTTTTCAGGCTGGGCGTCTTTCCTCGATTTCGGTCCCTGGGGCCCGCTCCCGGGCCCCAGGACCATCTAGACTTGGTTTCTGGGGCGGGAAGTTGGCCGTACAGTGGAGACCCATGCCGAGAAACACCCTTTTTGGCCTCCAGGGTGCCCTGGGTTGCTTGCGTTTCGATGTTTGGGCCATGGAGAGCGTGACGCTCCCGCGCCAAAAATCCATGGACGTCTTGGGGCCTCAGGGTTGGGTTTCTTCTGGAAGGCTTCCTTGTGGACTGGCCTCCACTGTATGGGGAGGGGTCGTGGCCTCCAGGGCCGGGGCCGCGCATTGCACAAAAAGTTGCGGTCGGGATGTCTTCCTCCTCCTCCTCCTCCTCCTCCTCCTCCTCCTCCTCCTCCTCCTCCTCCTCCTCCTCCTCCTCCTCCTCCTCCTCCCTCCTCCTCCTCCTCCTTCTCCTCCCTCCTCCTCCTCCTCCTCCCTCCTCCTCCTCCTCCTCCTCCTCCTCCTCCTCCTCCTCCTCCTCCTCCTTGGAAAGCGTGTCGCTCGGGCGGTTCTGACCACCACGCTGCGGCGGGCCAAGCTCTCCCCTGCCCGGTCCCCCAGAGCCAGCGTCCCGAGCGTTGCCCGACCTCCCGCCCCGCAGGGCGGAGCGACACGCGATCCGCTCGCAGGGCATGGCTCAGGAGGGGAAAACACACACAGACACAATGAATCCTCGATTTCCCAGAAAAGATGGGAAAATATGGGAAGTGGAGGGGAAGGCAAAAACCCAGAAAATATTTGAACATATGGGGAATCTTTTTATTTGTGTGTATTTCTTTGTGTGTCCTGGGGCCCCGCGACACGCTCAGCGAAAGTTCCTGGCCGTCTTTCGTCGGGCGTCTGCGAACGAGGGGGGGGGAAGCCGGGCGGAGGGCCAGAGCCCAGAGGTCGGAGAAGGGCCATCGGCATGAGCGCAAGTTGTCGAAGCTCCGCGCGGATTCTTCTCGGGCCCGTGCTGGGCCCCCCCCCCCCCTGGCGCGCGGCGTCGCCGTCCTCGTCGAGGTGGCCGCTGACCCACCGCGCCGCCAAGAGTCGAGGGACAGCAACCTGCGCAAAACTCGAGCTGTCGGAGCTCCGCGCGGACTTCTTGGATCGGGGTTGTCAGGAGGGAAAGAAACACACAGACACAATGAATCGTCGACTCCCAAGGAAATATTGGAAGCTATGGGAAGTGGGGGGAAAGACAGAAGCCCCAAACATATGGAAAAATACGGAGATTCCTGTTGTTTGTGTATATTTATTTGTGTATTTGTGGGCCCCTTCAGGTTGGGCCCCCCCGTGGCGGCGCCTCCAGCGCCGTCCCTGGCGCGCTCCGGGAGCCCAGCGTCAATTTCCAGAAGCCCGCGGGGTCCTCCGACAGCTCACGCGTACGTTGCCTTTCCATCTTCGGTGAATAGGGGGCCACATGCGAACCCTACCCCTACCCCCCACGACTTCTGAGGGGTAGGGTGGGGTTCACTTCGTTCGGGAGCTCCCGAGCGAAGAGAACCCCAACCTCTCCCTCAGAAATCGTGGGGGGTAGGGGTAGGGTTCGCATGTGGCCCCCTAGTAAATCCTCCGCGCCGTCGAGAGGCCGCAGCGGCAGCGGGTCTCGACGAGCTCCCAAACGGGTCGGCGTGCGACCACCCCCGCGACGGCGCGCCTTGCCGGGGAGCGCCGAAACGCCCACGCCGGTGTTTTCGTCGTCCTCCTCTACATTCGGGGGCCCCCAAACGGTGCGCTGACCACACGGTGTGGCGAGTCAGAGAGGATTCGGGGTGGCCACACTGTTTGGGGACTTGGATCGTTCTCCGAGGACTTCTCGGGCGATTGGGGCCTCCAGGGTCCCAAAACGGTGCGGTGACTGATCGTCCGGTGAGGTCTGGATTCCGTGGTCACCGCACAGGCCGTCAGCGCGCCGTCTCGGGACTCTTAAGTCTTGCCATGCGTGTGGTCCTGTCTGTCGCGCTGGTCAGGGCTGGCCTTCAAAATGTCATGTCACGGCTGGCTCAAGTCATTTTGGCTCAAGCCATTTTTGTTCAAGCCATTTTCCTTCGCACCGCGAGGCATCGTGTGCCAGAGCTTCACCCCAGCCGCAGGTCCATGGGTCCTGCCGCGAAGATCGTCGCAGTCGCCGCGGTGGCCGCGGTGGCCGATGCGGCGTTGTGGATCATTGGCGAGCAGGGCGCAACTTGCACGCAGACTTGTGAGGCCAAGTCGGGGACTTGCGTCGATGTTGATTGGGAGTCCGAGCCACAGACCCAGGAGGACGTGTACAAGCTGCTCTGCCTTGATTGTAGCGCCCTTGCAGTCGACGTCAACCAGAAGACCGCGGCTGAAGAGCAGGTCTGGCAGTACGCCCCAGCTCACATGGCCAACGATCCAACAATTTGCAAACACACCGGCTACGACAGCCTCTGCGACGAGGTTCCTGACCCTCGCATGGCACGCCAATGCAAGTGTGAGGGCGTCGCCGGCACTCAGCCTCCGTGCCCCGGGGAGGCCGCGGCGAAGGCCCCGGCGGGAGGCGAGGCGTGCGAGCACAAGAGCGACGGCTGCGAGATCGATTGCCAGGTGGACGGGTCCCCACTGGAGTGCGACGGCACATCGTGCTGCGAGCTCTTCCAGGAGGCCCTCGCGGAGCTTCACGGGGACGGCGGCAGCTCGGACCCCAGCGCGGAGGTCGGCTGCGGCATGGTCCTGGAGGTCGTGCAGCAACGGTGCGAGTCCTGCTCGGCGTGCAGGGCCGGGGCGGCGGAGGGCGGGGCGAGGGTGCTGACGGACGGGGCCTTGGCTGGGCGGAGGCCTTCGGGCGCCGCGGCGGCGGCCGCCCTCGCGGCGCTCGGGGCGGCCGCGGTGCTCGGAGGGGCCGCGGCGGCGCTCGGGCGCGGGGGCGCGGCCCGGGCGCGGGCCGCCGCCCGCGAGGCAGGGCCCCAGGCCACGCTCGAGGAGAACGCCCCGATCAACTCCGCAGGATGCGGACCCTCCTTTGCAGCCTGAGCACAAGCGGCCCAGCTTCCCTGACGAACTGGCGAGACGCTCTCGACTCTGAGAGCCAGCCTGGGCGCCCGGACCCTTGCTTGATCCATCTCTCTCTCTCTCTCTCTCGCTCCCTCTCCTTCTCTCTCTCTCTCTCTCGCTCCCTCTCTTTCTCTATCTCTCTCTCTCTCTCTCTCTCCCTCTTTTGCACATCTCTCCCTCGATTTTGACTCACAGTAGCGCGGTGAGGGCTAATTACTTGATCGCGAATGACGTGGAATCGCAATAGAGCTAGCTCGGAGCCAATGCAGGGTGTACACCCGTCGCCTGAACAGCCTATGAGTCTCATTTGCGTTCCGGTCATTCACGTGTGGGGAGTCCCCATACGCCAAAGACTGCGCGTTTCTTGAGCACCTCTAGAGAAGTACCTACGCGTCTGCAGATTCATTATGCTCCGCGTCTGTTAGAATAATATATCGCACTGCTCGCGCGTGTTTGCAGCAGTGGTGGCAGGCTCCCAGAACCGTCATCTGCAAATCTGGCAGCCTGACCAAATCACAAAAAAATGTCACGTCACAGCTATCTCGAGAGCGAGAGCAGTGCGCGGCCAAGGTGGCTAGTCGGAGTGCACGGATGGGGAGTGGCCAGGGGGCGTGGGGCACGGCAGCAGAAGACGTGTGCGACACAGCTCTTTCAATCCGCCGACTTGCTCGCGGGGTTTTCGCCCGCGGCTAGCCCCGTAAGGGCATTGCTGTCGGACGTGCATGTTTCTCGCCTTCCTCCCCCTCCGTCCTCCCTTCTTCTGGTGTTCCTCCTCATCCTCTCCCTCCTCCTCTGGTCCACACTCCGCGCTCCCCGTTCGCGCCTCCGTAGACCGGCAGCACGCAACTGGGGCCGCCTGGCCCGCCCAGGCGGGGAAAGGGAAGACGGGAGGTGAATTGTCGGTCAGCAGCGAGGGCTGTCGCCAACGCGTTCGGCCAGCCGGCGGGCCGCGCCAGGGCAGAGGGCACACTAGACTTAAGTCGGGCCTGTCCCTCTACAGGAGGAATCTTCAAAAATAATACAACATAGCCTGGGGACGATTTTTTGACTATTTCTGAGCATTTGGGGTGCATGTTTCGAGTGTTGTTCATTATTCGTCCTAAATTCCTCTGTAGGGGGACAGGCCCGACCTAGCACCAGACAGCCAGGACAAGAGGAAGGCGGCCGCGGAGGTGGGATGTGTGGGGGGGGAGCCTCAGGCGCTGAGAATCCTCGCCACGAGGCGTTCGCCGGCGGCCTCGTGTACCAAAAGCCGGTGTCCTGGAAGGCTTTAGGCGGCCAGGGCGAGCTGCCGAAGCGGGGGACAGCGTAGGTCCCACCAGAGAGGCAAGGTTGGAGGCGAGCGCGGCACAGCGAAGATGCTGAAGCAGAACCATCTGGGGCTCTGGAGGGACTCTGGCTTTTGAGCCGTCCCGTCGGTTCAGGTCGGGGAAGCTACCCGTGGCCGAGTTTCTCCTCGGCTGGAGACAAAGCCTTCTCGTTCTTTGCCAGGCAATCTTGGTGGTAGCACAGCGGCTGCACGTCGGCTTCCTCGCAGCCGAGGTCAAGCCGCGGAGGGGCCCGCTGGCACGCAGAGCTGAGACGCCTCGGCCCGGGCAGAGAGGTGAGGGCCACTGACGTCGGAGAGCTTGTCTTAAGTCGGGCCTGTCCCTCTACAGGGGGAATATCAAAAAAATAAGCAAACAAATAGTCGGGGGGCTATTTTTTATTGTATTTTTTGGGCATCAATTGAATAATTGTTGCGTGTGTTTTATTTGTCGTCCAAAATCCCCCTGTAGGGGGCAGGCCCGACCTGAAACTTGTCATGGCCTCTGGGCCTCATGACAGGGGGTGCCCTTGGAGGCTACCTGGGCCTCGCTGGAAAAGCTGGGTGGGGTCGCCCCAGGGGCCAGGGCCCAGATCACATCAGAATCGATCCACGGGCCCCTCCCATGGGCCTGGCATCGCTTGGACGTGTGCATTTTTCTTTCGGCGAGGACCATCGAGGAACATCCTTGATCATTCGGCGAAAAAACCACGCACGAAACCGAAAAAAGCACAGGGAATGGACGTCCGAGCGATGGCGAGTGACCCGTGGATCGATGGCATCCCAGTTCTATCGACCGCCCGAGCGCCCGGGCCCGACCCCCCCCCGTCTTCCGCGGGTGCGCGCGCGCCTCCTCGCCACGGCGGCGGGCGCCCGCCGCAGAGGGGCGGTTGCCCCGCGGGCCTGCGAGAACTTCGCAGAGCGGATGTCGCTCGGAAAGCTATGGGATTGGATGGGCTCGGAGTGTCCTGGAGAATGTCGTTCCGCATTTCGAAGTGCATCTCGTGCGGATGTTTTTGGGCCAGGAATGGAGACAAACAAATCCACGCGAAATTAACTTCATGTTTCGCTCGCCATTTCGGGGCATCGCATTGACAGGAATCCACGCAACAAAAATCCGCTGCAGCACGTCTGCAATGTCGATGCCGTGCAATTGGGGGTAATTCTGTGCTTTCGACGGTTGCGACGAAGACATCAGCAAGGAAGGCACAAAGGGGAGCGGAATACGCCTAGCGGCCTTGATCAAGGGTGAGTGTTGCCACGATGCGTGAAATTGGGGGTTGCCCCATTCACTCGTGCCCCGTGCTTCGGCACACCCAATGGGAGAAGTTCTACGCAATGGCATGGGTGCGCAACTACCTCCCAGAAGTCCATGCACGGAACATTGGTCCAGGTCTCCTACTCATTTCTTTCGGGCGTTCTTTACGCAGGTGCTTGCGGCAAATCTCGCTGGTGCCACCGCGCCAGCGAACCGCGCTGCGTGCCGACTCTCGATCACCGCTCGCAAGGCTGTCACATGTGACACCTCTCGTCTCCACTTCTTGAGGAGCTCTCATGGGGCTTGTTAGAGCCGTCTTGGGGCTGTCTAGGGCTCATGTGGGGCAGTCTCGGGACTCCCTTGCGCTCTTTGGGGGTCGTATTAGCCTTCCGGGGTCCCTTGGGGCCGTCGTGGGGCCGTCTTGGGCCGTCATGGGGCCGTCATAGGCCGCCGTGCAGTCGTCTCAGGCCGTCTTGGGACTTCAGTCTCGACAGACTTGTTTGTTGGCCTTGCCATGGTTTCCTGGAAGTCGTTTGGGGGGTCTTAGGGGGTGTCCTGGAGCCCATTGGCGGCCTGTTGGGAGAGCCCCACAGAGGCGCCGGGGCGCCCAAGAAGTCTCCGAGGGGGGGGTCCGTGCAGCAGTTTGCGTCGAGAGGGGGGCTGTCCCTCAGAAGGCGCACAGAAGCCCTACAAGGCAGCGCTTGGCATTCAACCACGTCTCCACCTGCCAGGGGGTCATCGTGGCAAAGCATGCTGCCCAGACTGAATGAACCGTTGGCTGCAGTACGCAACCCGAGCAGGACCCTTACTAACGCCCAGGAGACGCTATTAATCTGGACCCCGCGCCGCAAGATGTTATAGCAGGATGGCTTTGAATACCCTCTATTATGATTTAATGTTTGCAAAACCAGTCCACGGCATGTTTGCAGGTTTGGCAGCAGGGTGGAGATCATCATAGCAAGGAGGGTCGGTCCAACATCGCTGATCGCAGTCGTATGTCGTAGATAGAGCTCTGGCAATGCGCAAGGACTGGCATGCCCAAGATTAGGTACCTCGGGGCCCCCTTGGGCAGGCTTGGGGCTCTCTTCGGCAGCAGTGGGGCACTCTCGGCCGTCTGGGGTTCTCTTCGGGCCGTACGGGGAGCCCTCCACGTGCCCTGGGGCCAGCTTGGGGCTCGCCTGGGGCCATCCAGCCTGGGGCTCTCAGTAGGCACTTCGAGGACCGCGAGTAGGTCGACCCTGGACAGACGAGCGCGGACTGCAAACACAGTATGACGCCTTATAATCTCAAATGCGTCGGTTGGCCTCTCGAGGGCCTCGGGGGCTGCTGCATGCGTCTCGAGGCGAGAGTGGACCGTCTTGGCAGCCCTGGTGGCATGTCTGGACCGTCTTGGGAGTAACCTCTTCCACGCCGCAACGTGCCAGGGGCCATGGTAGAAACGCAATTGCAACCTGGTTGCACGAAGCAAAATACACGGTACACTTGCTAACGCCCAGGGAAACAATTCATCTTGGCGAAGGGCCCAACCATATGCAGTTGCGAGTACCGCGAGGCAGGAGGAACGAAGGAGGGGTGGCACGACACGTGTGATGAGGAGTGTGTGGAACTCGGTTCGGTCGCGCCACGCGGACCCTCCCATTTGGCCCTTCGGTGGAGCTCCTTGTGGGGCCACGAAGCGTGTGAGGGGTATGACGAGACGGGTGTGGTGGCGCCATGCGGACCCTCCCACTGGCGCTTTCAGTGGGACCACGAAACCTGCGAGGGGTGTGCCGAAATTGGCGCGGTGGCGCCATGCGACCCCTCCTATTGAAGCCGTCGGTGGGGCTCCCTGTGGGGCCACGAAACGTGTAAGGGGTGTGCCGAATTGGGCGCGGTGGCGCCATGCGGATCCTCACATTGGAGCTTCTGTGATGATCCCTATCGGGCCACGAAACGCGCGAGGGGTGTGCCGCCATTGATGCGGTGGCGCCATGCGGACCCTCCTCAGGGGGCCTTCGATGGAGCACCCTATCGGGCCACGAAACGCGCGAGGGGCGTGCCGAAGTTGATGCGGTGGCGCCATGCGGACCCTCCTATTGGGGCACTCGGTCGAGCTTTCAATGGTGCCACGCAACGTGCGAGGGGTGTGCCAAAATTGATGCGGTGGCGCCATGCGGTCCCTCGCACCTGTGCCCTGGGTGTGCCGAAATTGGTGCGGTTGCATCATGCGGACCTTCCCACTTGGGCCTTCGGTGGAGCTCCTTGTGGGGCCATGAAACGTGTGAAGGGTGTGACCATATGGGCGCGGTGGCGCCGCGCGGGCTCTCCCATTGGGGCCTTCGGTGGGGCTCCCGATGGGCCCACGCAACGTGCGAGGGGTGTGCCGAAATTGTTGCAGTGGCGCCATGCGGACCCTCCTCATGGGGCTTTTGATGGAGCTTCGTATGGGGCAACGCAACGTATGAGGGGTATGCCAAATTGGTGCGGTGGCGCCATGCGGACCCTCCTACTGGGGCCTTCGGTGGGGCTCTCGGTGAGGCCACGAAACGTGGCAGGGCCGTGCCGAAATGTGAGGAGGCACGGGGTGTGGGAGGAGGAAGGAGGGAGACGCGGGGTTCTTCTGATTCAAAACGAAAACCCAACACCACAGGATGACTGGGGATTGTCGAAGCCTTCCGCCGCAACTTATCCTACCAGGATGGTTTTGAATACCCTCTGCTGCCCTCCAATGCTGCCCGCTAAATCGGTGAAGAACAGCGCCGCAAGTTTGGCAACATGGAAAAATCAACATAATAGCGGGACTCGGTCCAATATCGTTGACCGAGGATGAGTGCTACACATTGAGCTCTGCAAAGGGGTGTCCCTTTGCCCTCGCAGCTCCTGCTTCGGCGCCCCCGCTAGAACGTGTCGTCCTCGGTGGTGCTCCCGTCCAGATTCCATGTTATGTTTTACAGTCAGAGCGATGACACCAGCACAGCTTTGGGTTCAGGAGGAGCTCTGTGTCACGGGCCGCTGCGTGGGCACACTGTGGTGGAGCTTCTTCGTTGTCGAGGCTCGCTGTGGCCAGGAAGGCTCCCTCGTTCCGCACTCGACGCCCCCTCAGGTAGCACGATGAGTGTGCCCCCTCCTCCGCCCTCCTCCTCCTCCTCCTCCTCCTCCTCTCCTCCTCCTCCTCCTCCTCCTCCTCCGCCCTCCTCCCTCCTCCCTCCTCCTCCTCCTCCTCCTCCTCCTCCTCCTCCTCCTCCTCCTCCTCCTCCGCTCCCTATTCCGCACGCACGTTGGCTCAAAAGGCCGCGAGGCCGTGCCGCACCAGCGGGCGTGGGGCAAGCGCCGCGCGGCCGCCGGGCTGCACGGGCGATGGTGGGGACGCAGTCCACGGCCGAGGCGTTCGAGACCCACCTTCAGGCCATCACCGGCGGCGCGCCGAGGGGGGAGCTCCTAGGGGGCCACGTGCGAACCCTACCCCTACCCCCCACGATTTCTGAGGGGGAGGGTGGGGTTCACTTAATTCGGGAGCTCCCGAGCGAAGTGAACCCCACCCTCCCCCTCAGAAATCGTGGGGGGTGGGGTTAGGGTTCGCAAGTGGCCCCCGAACTCAGACGTTCGTTCTTGCCTGGGAATGCGTTCCAGCGACTGCGCCTCGCTGAGAGCGGTCGGGGGGGGTCCCAGATCGTCCCGAACGACCGCTGGAGAGCCGAGTCTTGAGCCAAAATTGCCTCTGTTTTCTCCCCCCCCCGGGCGCGCCGCCGACATCACCCTTGCCCTGGATCTTCAGGCGAAGCTGGTGCGCAGCGCACTCGATCTCCACCCGGCATGGTCGCCCCTGGATTCCAATTCGGCGGAAGGGGCGATCAGCAGGGTCAGTGCCGCGATCAGCGATCTCAGACACGAGCTCGGCGTGGCCACCACCACTGCAGGCCCTGGGGAGCCTCCGACTACAACCGCCGTCGAGGCCATCGCGACCGGGAGGAGGACGGGGAGGAGTTGGAGAGTAGCACAGTCAAGACGCTGCAGTGCGGACCACTTTGGCCTCAGGAGGGGCTCTGGCTTTCGGGCAGTTCCTTAAATCTCGGTCGGGGGACTTTTTCGAGGCCGAATCTTGCCGTGGCCAGGAAGAAAGCTATCCTCCGGAGCTTGCGCTATTCATGAAATCGGAATCGGGCCTGCCAGCGGGCGCCCTTAGTGGAATTGTTATTCCTACATGCTCTTGGGGACCAGTTGGGGTGATGCTGAGCCTTTCGAAACTGAAGTGGCTCATCAGCGTCAATAGTTCCCATCGTACGCACCTAGATTCATGTGTCCCTGGAGTTTTCATAGGCGTAAGGGTCTGTCCTCGAGTGCTAACTGCAGGTGCAAGGTGATGACGATGAGAAGGACGACGAGGAGGGCAGCTACGAGAAGGACCGTGAGATTTCAGGCATGAGCCAAGGAGGATAAGGAGGACGACGAATTGGACAATGACGATGGGGTGGAGGAGGAGGAGGAGGAGGAGGAGGAGGAGAGGAGGAGGAGGAGGAGAGGAGGAGGAGGAGGAGGAGGAGGGAGGAGAAGGAGGAGGAGGAGGAGGAGGAGGAGGAGGAGGGAGAGGAGGAGGGAGGAGGAGGAGGAGGAGGAGGAGGAAAAGGGGGCCTTCGAGGCCCTCGCGGACAAGGCCTACCCGAGCTCCGCCACCATGGCCGCGCCGATCGCTGGCCTCAGCACGATTCCGAAGCGCCGGCTCTCCTTCGCCTCGCGGGGCAGCTTCGGCAGCCGGAGCAGCAACGGCAGCCAGCTCGGAAGGCCCAATCAGGAGGAGGAGGAGGGGAGGGAAGATAAGGAGGAGCCCCGAATCATCAGGGGTAACTCGGGTCAGGGATAACTCGGGTTCGTTTTTCGGGAATCCAAACCCGAGTTACCCCGGACCCGAGTTACCCCGGATAACTCGGGCGTCCAGAGCCCCGAATCATCAGGGGTAACTCGGGTCAGGGCTAACTCGGGTTCCTTTCTCGGGAATCCAAACCCGGGTTACCCCGGACCCGAGTTACCCCGGATAACTCGGGCGCCCAAATAAGGAGGAGGACCAGAGTGAACCCAGGATGCATCAACGATGCTGTAACGCACCATCCCCTTCCAAGCTCGCTTGTCCTAAGTTTAAGTCGGGCCTGTCCCTCTACAGAGGGAAAATTCCAAAATAGTCCAAAAAATATCCCAGTGCGACCCTACCTAGGAGTTGGAGCCCCTAGGAAAGCAGCATCAGTAGTAACAGTAAAGCTACGCTAAAGCTAAGCCAAAGCTAAGCTAAAGCTAAGCTAAAGCTAAGCTAAGGCTAAGCCAACACTCAGCTAAAGCTAAGCGAAAGCTCAGCTGAAGCTAAGCTAATGCTAAGCTAAAGCTAAGCTAAAGCTAAGCTAAAGCTAAGCTAAAGCTAAGCTAAAGCTAAAGCTAAAGATAAGTTAATGCTAAGTTGAAGCTAAGCTAAAGCTAAGCTGAGGCTAAGCGAAAGCTAAGCTAAAGCTAAGCTAAGGCTAAGCTAAAGCTAAGCTGAAGCTAAGCTGAAGCTAAGCTAAATCTAAGCTAAAGCTTAGCTAAAGCTAAGCTAAAGCTAAGCTAAATCTAAGCTACAGCTAAGCTAAAGCTAAGCAAGCTAAAGCTAAGCTAACACTAAGCTGAAGCTAAGCTAAAGCTAAGCTAAAGCTAAGCTAAAGCTAAGCTAACACTAAGCTGAAGCTAACACTAAGCTGAAGCTAAGCTAAAGCTAAGCTAACGTTAAGCTAAAGCTAAGCTAAGGCTCAGCTCACACTAAGCTAAATCTAAGCTAAAGCTAAGCTAAAGCTAAGCTAAAGCTAAGCTAAAGCTAAGCTAATGCTGAGCTAAAGCTAAGCTAAAGCTAAGCTAAAGCTAAGCTACAGCTAAGCTAAGGCTAAGCTAAAGCTAAGCTAAAGCTAAGCTAACACTAAGCTGGAGCTAAGCTAAAGCTAAGCTAAAGCTAAGCTAACACTAAGCTAAAGCTAAGCTAAAGCTAGAGCTAAAGCTAAAGCTAAGCTAAAGCTAAAGCTAAGGCTAAAGCTCACAGGGGACCGGGGGAACCGCGGGGCGGGGACTGGGGGAACCGCCTGGGGCGTGTAGCACTGCCCAGCCCCTTTAAGCTAGAGAGTAAGAACCCTTCTAGGCAGAGCCTAGGTAGGGAAATAGTCTGGGGACGATTGTTTGGCTATCTTCTTGCCATTCGAGGGTATTTTTGGAGTATTGTTTTCATCTTTCGCCCAAAACCCCCTTGTAGGGGGACAGGCCAGACCGAATCCTAACCCTGCAGGCATGCGCTTTCACGCGAAGGGAAGGACCCCCCCTGACAGACGAGCTCCCCGTGGGCCTGCCATGGCCTTGCGTCCTTCCAGCGTCCCTCCAGCCTTGTGTTAAGTCGGGCCTGTCCCTCTACAGGGGGAGTATTCAAAATTATCCCAGTGCGACCCTACCTAGGAGTTGGAGCCCCTAGGAAAGCAGCATTAGTAGTAACAGTAAAGCTAAGCTAAAGCTATGCTAAGGCTAAGCTAACACTAAGCTAACGCTAAGCTAAATCTAAGCTGAAGCTAAGCTAAAGCTAAGCTAAGGCTAAGCTAAAGCTAAGCTAAAGCTAAGCTAACACTAAGCTGGAGCTAAGCTAAAGCTAAGCTAAAGCTAAGCTGAAGCTAAGCGACAGCTAAGCTAAAGCTAAGCTAAAGCTAAGATAAAGCTAATCTAAAGCTAAAGCTACAGCTAAAGCTAAAGCTAAAGCTAAAGCTCCCAGAGGACTGGGGGAACCGCGGGGCGGGGACTGGGGGAACCGCCCGGGGCGGTTAGCACTGCCCGGCCCTTTAAGCAAAGAGAGTAAGAACCCTTCTAGGCAGAGCCTAGGTAGGGAAATTGTCAAAAGAATCTGTTCGGGGATTATGTTTGAGTATTTGTTTGACAATTTGGGGGCATGTTCTTGTATGTTTTATACTTCGTCGAAAATCCCCATGTAGGGGGACGCGCCCGATTGAATTTGAGCTTTGGAAATGAATTGCCTTGCGTCCTTCCAGCCTTCAGAAATGCGAAGAGGCAGCATCATAAAGTTCAAGGGCGCGTCCACCGATAGCCCCGTTTTGAACAGGAACTGCCTTCGATGTTTGTAATTGGTGGAAACGCTTAGGATGACTGTACGCTGCGCTTCGGCGGGCCCCACTTTTCGAAAACATTACGCCATCCATTTTTATAGAATTTCGAAGTTCTGCGAACGAATGTGCGCGAAGCTAGAGCGAGAGCCACATTTCGAAAACGGCACGCCCTCCATCCTGTTAGTGACTGAAGCGCATACGCAGAATAGTTTTTTATACGTGCCGCCTTGGAGACGAATCTGCGCGACGCTGCGGCGAGAGCGACATTCAAACCAAAACACACCCGCACGTCACCCGTACAAATGTCAAAATGGATGGCTCAGGCGTCTCAGGCGAAACGCCTAGTCCGCCCTACCGACACGTCTGGTGGTGCGACGATGTAGAAGGAAGAGGGATGGAGTAAGGGGTGGAAGAGGAGCGGGGGGACGACCAGAAGGTCGACGGAGTTTTTGAAGGGAGGGGGAAAGGAGGACCGGGGACGAGAGGGTAAGAGGGGAGGGCGAGAGAGGAGGACGATGACCAGGAGCAGGGCCAGGATGAGTACGAACAAGGAGGAAGATGAGGAGCAGGAGGAGGAGGAGGAGGAGGAGGGACGAGGGACGAGGGACGAGGGACGAGGGACGAGGGACGAGGGACGAGGGAGGAGGGAGGAGGGAGGAGGGAGGAGGGAGGAGGAGGAGGAGGAGCAGGACTGGAAGGAGGAGGAGCAGGAGGAGGAGAGAGAGGAGACCGAGAAGGAGAGGAAGCGTAGGAGGAGCAGGGGGCAGGGATGGAGGAAGGCATGTGCAGCGCATACCGACGGTGGAAGAAGAACCAGAAGCCGGTCAGCGCATGGACGTCAAGTCTCTCAATTACAAGCTGACGGATTCATGCTCGATCATCGGCGACGATAACGACCCAGCCATCGACGGGCACTCTGGGCGGCTGGAATGATAGTTGAGTCTCCGTTCTCATCATCGCCCTTGTCATCATATCCAAGTGGCTTACGCCATTCCGCCGACCCCCCAAAGGAGTAAGAGCTCACGACGCTCGTGGAAGGTATCGAAGACGCCTACGGCGAATCACCGCCGCCCCCTGCCTTTTTGGAAGCGCCTATGTGGCCGAACGTTGAGGCCAGACCTGCCAAGCTATCGGACCACGTGTTCCCCGAATCGGTTTGGAAAGCCTTCGGGGAACACGTGGGCATCTTGAAGGTCATCTTGGCCGTCTTGGAGGCCTCTTGGGCAAGCTTTGGGCGATCTTTGGGGCTTTTTGGGCCGTCTCGGGCCAGCTTCGAGCCAACTTCGGCCATCTTGGTGGGTTCCTGGCACGTCTGAAGCCGTCGGAAGCCGTTTGGGGGGCCTCTATGGGCCGACTTGGGGCCCGCTTGGAATGCTCCAGGGCCGTCTTGGAGGCCATCTTGGGCGTCTGGGAGGCCATCTTGGGCGTGTTGGAGGCCTCTTGGGCCCTCTTGGGGCCCTCTAGGGGCCATCTTGGAGGCCACTTGGGCCATCATGGGGCTCTCTTGGGGGCCTCTTGGGCGATCTTGGGGGCTTCTTGGGCCGTCTTGAGCCGTCGGAGAGCCGAAAAGGCGCAAATGCCAAAATCCTTCAAAAACCAACGGAAAATCAATGATTTTGGCCTCTTCGGACTCTCCTGGAGGACCTCTTGGAGGCCTCTTGGGCCGTCTGGGAGGCCTCTGGGGGGCCTCTTGGGCCGTCTTGGGCCGTCTTGGACTCTCTTGGGCCGTTTTGGAGGCCGTCTTGGACCATCTCGGGCGGACTTGGAGGCCATCTTGGGCCATCTTCGCGATTTTTGAGGATGTCCCGAGCGAAACGGCCGTTTTTGGGCATTGACAGACGCATTTTGGGAAACGCGCGGGTGGCCGGCGGGACGGGCCGAAGCCCACTGGGGAGTTCTTTTAGACCAAAACTGAGCACGCCGTGCAAAAAAAACTGAATCATCCAGCATGTGAACCCCCAAGGCAAGCTGCGGATCGAAGACGCCTACGGCGAATCACCGCCGCCCCCTGCCTTTTTGGAAGCGCCTATGTGGCCGAACGTTGAGGCCAGACCTGCCAAGCTATCGGACCACGTGTTCCCCGAATCGGTTTGGAAAGCCTTCGGGGAACACGTGGGCATCTTGAAGGTCATCTTGGCCGTCTTGGAGGCCTCTTGGGCAAGCTTTGGGCGATCTTTGGGGCTTTTTGGGCCGTCTCGGGCCAGCTTCGAGCCAACTTCGGCCATCTTGGTGGGTTCCTGGCACGTCTGAAGCCGTCGGAAGCCGTTTGGGGGGCCTCTATGGGCCGACTTGGGGCCCGCTTGGAATGCTCCAGGGCCGTCTTGGAGGCCATCTTGGGCGTCTGGGAGGCCATCTTGGGCGTGTTGGAGGCCTCTTGGGCCCTCTTGGGGCCCTCTAGGGGCCATCTTGGAGGCCACTTGGGCCATCATGGGGCTCTCTTGGGGGCCTCTTGGGCGATCTTGGGGGCTTCTTGGGCCGTCTCGAGCCGTCGGAGAGCCGAAAAGGCGCAAATGCCAAAATCCTTCAAAAACCAAGGAAAAATCAATGATTTTGGCCTCTTCGGACTCTCCTGGAGGACCTCTTGGAGGCCTCTTGGGCCGTCTGGGAGGCCTCTGGGGGGCCTCTTGGGCCGTCTTGGGCCGTCTTGGACTCTCTTGGGCCGTTTTGGAGGCCGTCTTGGACCATCTCGGGCGGACTTGGAGGCCATCTTGGGCCATCTTCGCGATTTGTTGAGGATGTCCCGAGCGAAACGGCCGTTTTTTTGAGGATTTGTTCCGGTCGTTGAGCACCTTCCGGGTGGCCGGCGGGTTCTGCCGGAGCCCACTGGGGAGTTCTTTTGGAAAAAGAACCAAAACCAAAACCTGAAACATCCAGCACGCCGTGCACCCCTGCAAGCAGGGGGCGGCGGATCGAAGACGCCTACGGCGAATCACCGCCGCCCCCTGCCTTTGTGGAAGCGCCTATGTGGCCGAACGTTGAGGCCAGACCTGCCAAGCCATCGGACCATGTGTTCCCCGAATCGGTTTGGAAAGCCTTCGGGGAACACGTGGGCGTCTTGATGGTCATCGTCGCCGTCTTGGAGGCCTCTTGGGCGATCTTTCGGCGATCTTTGGGGGCTCTTGGGCCGTCTCGGGCCGTCGGAAGGCCGAAAGAAGGGAACTGCCCAAATCCATCAAAAACCTTGGGAAAATCAGTGATTTTGGCATCTTTTGGCCTTCCTGGAGGCCCTCTTGGGGGCCTCTTGGGCCCTTTTGGGCCAGCTTCGAGCCAACTTCGGCCATCTTGGTGGGTTCCTGGCACGTCTGACGCCGTCGGGAGCCGTTTTGGGGGCCTTTCTGGGCCAACGGGGGACCCTCTTGGGGCGCTCCAGGGCCGTCTTGGAGGCCATCTTGGGCGTCTTGGAGGCCATCTTGGGCGTGTTGGAGGCCTCTTGGGCCGTCTTGGGGCCCTCTAGGGGCCATCTTGGAGGCCACTTGGGCCATCAGGGGGCTCTCTTGGGGGCCTCTTGGGCGATCTTGGGGGCTTCTTGGGCCGTCTTGAGCCGTCGGAGAGCCGAAAAGGCGCAAATGCCAAAATCCTTCAAAAACCAATGGAAAATCAATGATTTTGCCCTCTTCGGACTCTCCTGGAGGACCTCTTGGAGGCCTCTTGGGCCGTCTGGGAGGCCTCTGGGGGGCCTCTTGGGCCGTCTTGGGCCGTCTTGGACTCTCTTGGGCCGTTTTGGAGGCCGTCTTGGACCATCTCGGGCGGACTTGGAGGCCATCTTGGGCCATCTTCGCGATTTTTTGAGGATGTCCCGAGCGAAACGGCCGTTTTTGGGCACGGTGGCGGGACGGGCCGGAGCCCACTGGGGAGTTCTTTTGGAAAAAGAACCAACACCAAAACCTGAAACGTCCAGCACGCCGTGCACCCCTGCAAGCAGGGGGCGGCGGATTGTGTGGCCTTCGGCCAATCCCGCCACCGTGCCTTGGCTGTGGCTCAGAAGCCTCTTAGACGCATCTGAGGGCCTCTCGTGCCCCATGGCATGCCTTGGATTCCGGGACTTGGGTCTCTCTCCGAGGACGCCTCGGGCGATTGGGGCCTCCGGGGTCCAAAGCCGTGCGGTGACGGACCGTGCGGCGAGGCCTCGAGGGCTCTCGAGGTCATCGCGCGGTCCGTCACCGCACCGTCTTAGGGCCCCCAGGCTGTCGCGCCGGGGCTTGCCAGGCCCAGTGCGCCTGGCTGCGTCCCCGCCCGCCTGCGCGGGCTCGACCAGGCAGGGGCCGCGGGCCGAGGCTCGGGAGCCGCGCACGAGGTGCTCCGCCGACGCGCGGGCCGAGGCTCCTCGCCCCTGCCGCAGACGGCCGCGGCCGGCCAGCGCAGGCTCCACGAGGCCCTGGCCCTTTCGGGCCGCCCCGTTTCTGTTGTATTGGAGGGCTCCTCCTTAGTGCATGTACGGCAGGTTCGCGTCGTGTCGACCGGCGGCGACCCCGCCGCCAGCGTTCAAAGTTGAACGCCTCCAGCGACCCAGAATCGGTCGTTGTGGAACGATCTGACGTTTCGGAAATGGCCGGTCGTTCAAGGTTGAGCGATCCCCGCGGTGTCAAAAACCAACGCCGAAGTCGGCACGACACGGACCTGCCGTAGGGCCCCGGACTTCCACTTTCACTTTCACGGGCTCCACGAGGCGGCGCGCGGCCAGAGGCGCAGGCCGGCGGAGGCGGGCAGGGCCGCGGCTGGCAGCGGCCCGTGCTGGAGCGCAGCAGGGGCCGTGTGCGGAGCGTCCGCGTTGGCACGCGGCGTGGCGGCTCGGCACCCGCTGGCCCACGTTTTGCTAGGGCTCCCTCGAGGGCGCGAAGTTATTCGCGCTTCGCGCTTCGCGGTCCTCGATCCTTCTCCCCCTCCTCCTCGTCCTCCTATTCTCCCTTTGGGAGGGCGGCGCGAGGGCGCGAAGTTATTCGCGCTTCGCGCTTCGCGCAGCGCGAAGCGCGAAGTTGGGAGCCCTTGTGGAGCACGTTCGGCGCCAGGCCTGCGTCGTCAGTCTGCGTGTTGAGCTCCGTGCCAGCACGCTGCGCGTGGCGTGTTGCGTGTCGGGGCAGCGCAGCGGCGGTCTGTTCCATCCAGGGCGCGCTGGCGCCGGCGAGGACCAAGGGGGCCCGCGGTGGACCTCGCGGAGATGCACGAGCAGGGAGCGGCGGGCGGTCCTCGCCATCTGCCACCGTGGGAGCGTCAGCTCGTCGCGGATCCCAGCAGGGCTGCGCGAGTGGGCCGAGGCGGCGGCGAGCGCGCGGAAGCCCCGCGCCGCAATGGGTCGCATCAAAGTGCCCGGTTCTTCGGGGCGCTTGCCCGGGCATTTGCGCTGCACTCGCGAGGCCGAGGGGTGCTGGCAGGCTGACATCAGGGTGCGAGGGGGGCCGAGCCTGTCGGCATGCCACGTCTGATGGGGAGGCAGGGACAGGAAGTGGCGCAGCATCAGCATCGGGTTGGTTCCAGCTTGTTGCGCGCGCGGGCGGCGTACAAATCCTGCCCCCCCTCGCAGCACTTGTTCTCATCGGCAGGTCGACTATCGGCCACGCGGCCGGGACAGGGGTCAACAAGATGTCCCCCCCCCCTGGGGGCCAGAGCTTTTGACCCCCCTCCCCGGGCGGAGCGCTCATCGGCCGAGAGATGTGTTTGGGAGCCGTCGGAGGGCCCAGGTTCTCATGGCTACTATGCCGAGGGCAGACCGAAAATGTAGGAAACGTTTTCCAGTCACCAGCGATGCGCCCATGCAAAAGGCCTCCCCCTAAATTGGGGTCGCGCCGGATTCATTTCAGGGTCGCGACAGCGGATCGCGTTCTTTCTGGTGTTCTTTGCATGCGCTTCCCTTTCAGCTTCGTGTTATTGATCCCCTCCTGCTGCTGTTTCCTATCATGTTGATTACATCCCCTGTTCGAGGCCACATTACCGCAGAGGCAACAACTGTTCAAAGAAAATAAGTCTTGAAAATGATGGTTGAGAGGTGGCACTCCGAGTAGAAGTTCGATGCGGGCCAGGATAAATTTCATGTTTCCTTTGCTGCGTTGCGTGTTTCCCCTTCGGCCAGAGTCACTCCTCCTCATCATCATCATCATCATCATCATCAGCAGCAGCAGCAGCAGCAGCATCAGCATCAGCATCATCAGCATCATCAGCATCATCAGCATCATCAGCATCATCATCATCATCATCATCATCATCATTGTCCTCCTCATCCTCTTGCCCCCCCGATGTTCATAGCTGCCCAGGGATCTGCCGATGTGGTCCCTCGATTCCATAGACACCAACTGGATGACGCGGGCGAGCGTCTCGGCGGTGATCAGGGCAGCAAGAAACCCTCCCCGCCCCCCCCCATCCCTCCCTCTTTTACCCTCCCTCTCCTCTTTCCGCTCTCATGAAATTTCCCGCTCCCTTTCGTTTCCCTCCACTGTCTCCCACCTCCTCCCCCCATGTTGCTATCCGTTGCCCCCACCCCCCCTCCGTTCCCCTCATCCTCCGCATGGTACCCCCCCCCCCCGATTTTTCTTCCACCTGTCCCGAAGTAAAACGGGCGACTCCTCCTCAGATTCCCCCTTCTCCACCCACCCTCTGATCCTCTTCATTATGCCCTGCCTAAGCCGCGGCGAATGGGCTGGCAAATACAAAAGTGTACTGTTCCTCCCCTTGTTCTCCTCCCCCTCTCCTACCCCCTTCCCCCTCCACCTCATCACAACCCTCTCCCTCTTCCTCCTCCTCCTCTTCCTCCTCCTTTTCCTCCTCCTTCTCCTCCTCCTCCTCCTCCTCCTCCTCCTCCTCCTCCTCCTCCTCATCCTCCTCACAGGTGGCTCCGCGGCGAGGCCCCGCAGCCGTGTTGCCCCCGCGGCGATGCGCGGCCCGTGCCGTCGCGGATCGCTCCCAGCGCCGCGGCGCGAATGTTTTGCGGCGGCGCGTGGGCATGCTACAGGGTGCAGTGGTGTGGGCCCAACGGTGACGGAGAGAGGCCCCCAAAGCTCAGCCGCAGCCGCCGACGCGCAACACAGATTCCGCTTGACCACTTGCCGCCAGGCCGAGCTCGACTGGGCGGTCCAGATCCAGCCGCCCTGGCAACCCTGGTGTGGCCTCCCGTGGACGGAGATCTACGAGGAGGAAGGGCAGTGGCAACTTCACGAAGAATAACCTTGTGCGTGCGAGAAGGACCGGCAGTGACAACTTCAAGAGGGACCAGGCCAGCACGAGAAACACGCGAAGAACGAGCCCCACGCCATCAGCTACAGTGCGACGGCGCTGAACAGCGGGAAGGCGAAGGACGAGCCCAACGTCGTCAGCCACGACGAGGGGGCGACGAACAGCCGACGTGAGCGCAAGGTTGAGGAAGGCGAAGAACACGCTCAATGCCATCAGCTACTACTTGACGACTTCTGGTGGATACTGGATTGTTGCTGGGGCCAGGGCATCACGCCCGACGTCGGCCTCGCGGCGTGCAAGGAAGGCGAGCAGCGACAGCAGGCTCTGGCGCTACTCCAGGAAAGAGGAGGGATGAAGGCAGAGCCCGACGTCATCAGCCACAGTGACGGGCGCGCCGGGGACACGCCGAAGCAGACGGCCCTGGCAAAGAGGGAGGCGACGCTGGAGCCCGATCCAGCGAAGCACTCGAAGCTGCAGCTCCGCGACGAGGAAGGCGAAGTTGGAGCCCGACGCACTACCCTAGAAGGCCTGGCGGAGGCGAAGTTGGAGCCCAACACAGCTCTGCCTCTCGTCGCCCCTCGTCGCCGCGGCTGGACCAGGGAAGGCGGGCCTGGCATCGCTCGGACGTGTGCATTTTTTCTCGGCGAGAACCATCGAGGACCATCCTGGACCATCGAGCCAAAAAAACACGCACGACACCGACAAATGCACGGGAAATGGACGTCCGAGCGACGGCAAGCAGAAGGCGGCTGCGGCGACCATAGAGCACGACGCCACCGTGGCCGCGGCCGCCGCCGCGTCCACCGAGGAGGACGTCGAGGGGTTCCTGGTCCGCTTGGGCACTCACAGCGGCGTCGAGATGGCAGACGCGGTGCGCCGCTGCGAGCCCGAGGACATCGACCTCGACCTGGTGCGCAGCTGCCTGACATCGCGTCGCTGCAGGTGCGCACTCTGCCTGGAGGCCGAGCGCCTCGGCCATCTGGGCGAGACGGGGGGCCCAGAGGAGGAGTGCGACTCGGGCGGGCAGGGCAGCGCGGGCGAAGTAAGGAGGGCAGTGGCAGCCTCAAAAGAAGGGCGACGGGCAGTGGCAGCCGCAAGAAGGGCGCGTGTGAGAAGGCCCCGCCGGCCTTGCAGGCACAGCTTCGAGGAGTACCTGGCCAAGCATGCGTGCTTGACCTGGGAGGAGGCTGCAGCTCCCTACCCGACGCCGCGGGAGAGGGCGAGCCTCGGTCGCTCTCCTCGCCCCCCTGCGGGGGAGGGCCGATGCCGCGCACCCGCTGAGCGCGCGCGAGGCGCACGCGCGCGGCGGGTGGCCACGACGTGGCGCCAGGAAACGGCTGGAAAGGCCTCCCTCCCCTCCCTCCTCCTCCTCCTCCTCCTCCTCCTCCTCCTCCTCCTCCTCCTCCTCCTCCTCCTCCTCCTCCTCCTCCTCCTCCTCCTCCTCCTCCTCCTCCTCCTCCTCCTCCTCCTCCCTCTCCTCCCTCTCCTCTCCTCCTCCTCCTCCGCCTCCTCCTCCTCCTCCTCCTCCTCCTCCTCCTCCTCGTCCTCCTCCTCCTCCTCCTCCTCCTCCTCCTCCTCCTCCTCCTCCCCTCCTCATCGCATCAAAACTTTGTGCGGCGTGTGGACCACATCCGCGCGAATCCTGATTGCGGCTGAGTGTCAGTTTCTGGTTGGTTGCCAAGCCCAAGACTCCTTCCTTCACTACCTTGCTTGCCCCCTATCTCCCCCGCCTTCGTGTTGTTCCTCGAGACTTCCTCCACGTATGTCCTCTCACACATGTGGGGCGTGGCCCAGTACCCGATAATGAATCTGAGTATCCCCGTGAGCGCTGCCATCAGATCGCGCTGTTGAGCTCCCATGTGTACCATAAGTTTGAAACCGACCTCGCGGGCAGACCCAGAGCGGCCACGCCCGCCTACCACTAAGAAATCCGAGCCGCAGCCATCGTTGCTCTGCGATGCCAAGGCCCACACGGGGGCGGGTCACTATTCCTGTTGCATGTTGGTTGCCCCAAGGTGAGCATGCGGCACACCTCCCCGTGCGTCCACGGCTCGCTGAACCCAGACTGGTCCTCGGGCGCTGCAGCATGAGAATGGAGGAGGGAGGTCGGGAGGAAGGATGGAGGTGGAGGATCCAGAATCGAGGTAGGGCGGGAGGGAGGGAGGGAGGAGGAGGATCGAGAATCGAGGTAGGGAGGGAGGGGAGGAGGAGGAGGGAGGAGGGAGGAGGATCGAGAATCGAGGTTCTTTGATATGTTTCGCCAGAGTTGAAGCCTCCCAGGGCGCCTTCATCGCCACGGCCGGGTCCGCATCGAATTTCTGGTCAGGATCGTGATACGGGACAGGTCTAGGGGTTCAGCTTTTGAGAGGAGATGAGTTCGGGAGGGAAAGGGAAGGACGGGGGAAAGGAGGGCCGGAGGAGGTAGAAGAAAGAGGGAATGGAGGAAGAGGGAGAGGATTTCCAGAGGAAGACGGGGGCGGCGTAAGAGAGGAAATGCCACGAGGAAGGAGAGGAAGATCAGCAGCAGGAAGATGAGGATCAGTTTGAAGAGGAGGAGGAGGAGTAGGAGGAGAAGGCGGAGACGGAGGAAGGGGGGAGGAGGAGACGGAGGAGGAGATGGAGGAAGAGGAGGAGGAGGAGGAGGAGGAGGAGGAGGGGCGGAGGATGAGCAAGAGGCTTCTGCTGTAGGTCTCTGAGGCTGGCGTGGGACCTGTTTGTCATATCCATGGTCCTGTGCGACTGCGTTATCCTCCCGTACCAGCTGGCGGAGTTCCGCACGGATAAGGGATTTGATGCCGTGTGGCTCTGGTTCACGGTCATCATCTTCTTGTGCGATTTGATACTGAATTTCTTTACCGGTTACCACGCAGGCAAGAAGGATGAACACCTTCAGGAGGGAACCTTGGTCACCGACAGGAAGAGCGTTGCGATACACTACCTCCGCGGATGGTTCTGGATCGATTTTCTGAGCACCGTGCCGTGGTCCAAGGTCGCCGAAGCTTTCAACTCGGACGGCAGAATGGACACGTCTTCGGCTGGCCAAGTGACGAAGCTCGCAAAGATTATCAAGTTGACGCGGCTTCTAAGGCTTATGCGGATGCTGCGACTCTATAAGGTGTCAGTCGTCTGGGAGAGCCTCGAGGGCCGGATCGGGTCCATCACCGCCCTGAACGTGGTGAGTATGTTGAGGGTCCTTGGTATTTGGACCGCAATCTGCCATTGGGGCGCATGCGTTTGGTGGATGGTTGGCAAGAGAGACAGTTTGGTAATGCTCCTCACGATGCAGGACGACGTTCCAGACGGACTCCACTGGACCGAGCTGCCGCGCGTGCACAGCGCCTACGATGACTTCGGGCAGTGGAGATGGGTGGACAGGCCTGCGTTTGAGCAGTACATCTTCTGTTTCTATTGGATATTGGGAGTGATGCGCACCATGCCCGCCGAGGTCACGCCCGTGAATTTGACAGAGAGGATATTTGTTCTTGTCTTTATGTTCTTCGCCGTCATGGCTTTCGCAGTCAACGTCACTCGCATTACGCAGGCCTGGTTCAGGTTCGGCGCGCGCAAGGATGCGTTCAAGGAGGAGATGGCGTGCGTCCGCATGCATCTGAGAACGATGAAATGTGGAAACGCGGTGCAACTGCGCACGCAGGCATTCCTGAAGCATCTCTTCGAAAAGAGGAAGATCCACGCCAAGGAGCTGGGCCTGTTGAACACCCTGCCCGAGGGGCTGAAGCGGAAGCTGAACCATTCCCACAGGATCCACTACCTCAGGATGATCCCACGACTGCGAGACTGGATGGATCAGGCCCTGCAGCTCGTCTGTGACGCCACCACGGCCGTGGACTTCCTGCCGGGCGACAAGCTCACAATGAAAGACCACGAGGCGGAGGCCGCCCTCCCCACGACCTGCCTGCCCTCCTCCTCCTCCTCCTCCTCCTCCTCCTCCTCCTCCGCCTCCTCCTCCTCCTCCGCCTCCTCATCCTCCTCCGCCTCCTCCTCCTCCTCCTCCTCCTTCATCCTCCTCCTCCCTCCTCCTGCTCCTCCTCCCTCCTCCCCCTCCTCCTCCTCCTCCTCCTCCCCCTCCTCCTCCTCTCTCCTCCTCCTCCTCCTCCTCCGCCTCCTCCTCCTCGTCCTCCTCCTCCTCCTCCTCCTCCTCTCCTCCTCCTCCGCCTCCTCCTCCTCCTCCTCCTCCTCCTCCTCCTCCTCCTCCTCCTCCTCCTCCTCCTCCTCCTCCTCCTCCTCCTCCTCCTCCTCCTCCCTCCTCCTCCCCTCCTCCTCCTCTCCTCCTCCTCCCCTCCTCGCTGCACGCCGGGTGCGTCTTCGTGCCAGCGCGGCGGCGACGCCGGCGCGGGCGTTCCAGGTCGACGCCGCCGGGCGGAGGGGCAACGTGAGGCTCCGCGGGGGACGCACGGGCCCCCAGTCGCCCTTCATCTCCTCCTCCTCCTCCTCCTCCTCCTCCTCCTCCTCCTCCTCCTCCTCCTCCTCCAGGTCGACGCCGCCGGGCGGGGGCAACGTGAGGCTCCGTGGGGGATGCACGGGTCCCCAGTCGCCCGTGGATCGCCGACGGTCAGAGACCCGAATCATCAGGGGTAACTCGGGTCAGGGCTAACTCGGGTTCGTTTTTCGGGAATCCGAACCCGAGTTGCCCCGGGCCCGAGTTACCCCGGATAACTCGGGCGCCCAATCATGGCCCACCCCGACCAGGAACGTGCGCATTTGCAGTCGAGGGCCTGTCGCGGATCGATCGGCGATGTATCGCCAAGTCGAGCGCGGTGCTTCTCCCTTGAGCCGCCCCCCCCCTCCCCCAGCCCCCTTGACGTTTCCTCTCTAGCCAGTGGCCAGGGGTCGGCCGACATCGGAAGATCTGCGCTATCGGAAAGGCGCGATCGTTCCAGGCTGAACGATCCACGCGGCTTCATTAGCCAGCGCCCAAGGCGTCAAGATACTCGCAAGCAGTGGGTGACCAATGGTACGGGCTGAATTTGGGGCTATCTTGGGGCTCTCTGGGTGCCGTTTTCTAGGTCACCCGAAGGGGCGTGAAGATAACCGAGCCTCGCGGCTTGGGCTGAGCTGGCCTTCTCCGGGGGGCGGCGCAACCTCGTGTCGTGGCAGCGTGTCGGGACCCTCTTGGTCTGTCTTGGGGCCCTCTTCGGTGCCCGGACAAAAAGTGCCCACGCCGACGGCGCGAAGACAATCAGGCATGATGGCAACGATAATTGCAATATACATGTGGCTCGCCCCCCCTCACCCCCAAACCCAAAGTTGTAGTGTCTATATGTTGTCCCCGGCACGTTGCCTCGAATCCAATCCCGTCTACTGTGGGTTGGGAAGGACGGGGGCTATGGATATTTGTTCGACGCAGTTCGATGTCGTATCATCTTGGCTCGGCGGCGAGCGAGGGGGGAAATGAGAAGAAGCAGGCCTTCTCAGAAGGCGGCGGGACTTCACAGAAGCCCTCGCACCTTCTGAGAAGTTGTTTCTGTCTTCGGGGAAGGCTTAGAAAACTTCTCAAAAGGCCGGGGGACTTCTGGGTCTTCTGAGAAGGCCTTCTTCTCATTTCCCCCCCACGCTCGCCGCCAATTGGCGCGATGGGTGTGGACATTTTTTTGTCCGCCCACCGTTGGGCCGGCTGGAGACTCTTCGCGGGCACCCTAGCGGGCGGGTCGGGCGAGGCACCGAAGCGGGCCAAGGCATGCGAGCGGGCGGACCCTAACGGGCGGCTCAGGGCGGGAGGACCCTACTGGGCGGGGCGGGCGGGCGGGCCCTAGTGTTAAGTCGGGCCTGTCCCTCTACAGGAGGAACATTAAAAAAACAATCATTTACAAACAATAGGATGGGGACGATGTTTTACCATTTTTGAAAATGTTGGGGTATTTTGTTGAGTATGTTTTATCTTTCGTCGCAAATCCCCCTGTAGGGGGACAGGCCCGACCTAACCCTAGTGGGGTGGCAGGGTGGGCGGGGCATTGGAGCGAGCTGCGTAAGTTGTTGAGAAGTCTCGGGCGAGGGCACGGGCCTCGAGTCATGTGTGGGGAAGTCTCGCGCGAGGGCGCGACTCACGGACGTCGAGAGCGCAGCGCCTTGTCAAAATGCGTCGAAGTCCTAGATGACAGCGCGATTCGAGCGAGAGCGCGAGTCTCAACCAAATTGCGAGAAGGTATCAGGCGTGAGCCGTAGTTGTTGTAGACGGGGGCCCAACGAGACAGTGTGAGTACCAAGATCTTCCTTAATCAACAACAGTGTTCGAAACGGGGAGGGCACCTCAATTGAACTTTCTCGGCGCGGAGATCCCCAGATGTGCATGTCATGTTCTGGCCATCCCGCTCTGAGTGTCTTGCTGTGTCTGGGTGGCCAGGTGGACGACGGGCACGACGACGAAGACGTCGGTGGCCACGACGAGGGAGAACGACAACAACGACGACAATAATTCGAAGGATTGCAAAAAACCGAAGGGTTGCAAAAAACCCGAAGGATTGCACGAAGGATTGCAAAAAACCAAGGATTGCAATCCTTCGGTTTTTTGCAATCCTTGGTTTTTTGCAATCCGACAGCCTCACAATCTGATTGGAAAGCCAAGGAGTCCAAGCAACCGAACTGGCAAACCGCTCGAGGCATCCCACGATCTGGCCGCGAACGGGAGAGTGTCCCAACCCCTGGTGGCTCCCCCTTGGGGTGCTGAAACCAGCGCCTCGCTCGAGACATCCTCACATGCTGCTTTGATCGCAGAAGAATATGGCGAGCCACAAGAGGCAAACCACTCGAGACATCCCCCAAATCTGGCCGCGAACATGGGAGTGTCCCAACCCCTTGCGGCCCCCGCCTTGGGTGCTGACGCTAGCGGCTCGATCGAGACAACCACACAATCTGTTTTGACAGCAGAAAAGTCCAAGCAACCAAGCAGGCAAACCGCTCGACACATCCCCACGATCTGGCCGCGAACGAGGGAGTGTCCCAACCCCTGCCGGCTCTTCCATTGGGGTGCTGAAGCCAGGGCCTCGTTCGATCCATTCGCAATCTGCAACTCTGAGTGCGAGCTTGAGCCCATATCAATACGAGTGAGTCTGAGTATGAGTGAGTCTGAGAGCGAGTGATTCTGAGCATGAGAGAGTCCGAGTCCGAGTGAAGAGAAGACAAGAAGGTGGAAGGAAGGACAGGGAGGGGAGGGAGGAGGTGAGCCGGAGGCATCTGAGCAACAAAACAGACCGCCTGAGACGTCCCCACAGTCTGAGCGCGAACGGGCCCGTGAGATTCCCTCGCTGCGGCTCCCCCTATGGGCGTGCTGAAACCAGCGCCTCGCCTGAGACATCCCCACAATCTGCTCCGAAAGCAGAGGGACGCTGGGGGGCAGAAAAAGGCAAGTCGCTCGGGCGCGAGTTCTTGAGTGTCCCCGCCCCTGGCGGCTCCCCATTGGGAGTGCTGACACCAGCGCCTCGCCTGAGACATCCTCACAATTTGCTGCCAAAGCAGAGGACGCTGGGGGGCAGAAACAGGCAAACCGCCTGAGACTTCCCCACAATCTGGGCGCGAGTTTCGGAGTGTTCCCACCCATGTGCTGAAACCACCGCCTCGCCTTTGACATCCTCTCAATCTGTGTGTGAGCGGTTCTGAGTCTGAGTGGGTCTGAGCGAGGCAGTGATGTGATTGAGTCCGAGTGAGTCTGCGTCTGAGTGAGCAAGGGATGTGGCTGCGTCTGCGTAAGGAAGAGTGAGTACGTGATGGACCCCGTGAAGAAGAGCGTGTCTGTGATGGACCCCGTCATGGGTGTGAGCGATTCTAGTGTTGAGTACCTGAGTGATATGAGAGTGAAGGAGATGAAAAGGAGGAGAATGAGGAGAAGGAGGAAGAGGTTCGGAGGCGTCTAACTAATATCAAGAACCACATCTTTGAATGCAGGGAACAACAATGCACGCAGAACAGGGGGATCAACGGTAGCTACTCTGCAGAAGCGGGAGTTCTATAACAGCAGCAGGAATGACAAGGTCCAGCGCAGTCTGTCCGAGTCGGTGGGTCCGTCTCCTTCCCCCGCCATGGAAGGAAAGAGGTCCTGAGGGAAATGGGTCCGGGACCCCAAGGCTTTCCCCAGGATCAGTTCTTCGTGCTGAGCCGTCTTCTAATTCGCGGGCGCCCGTGGGGGCCCGTGCAGGGCCCCAAGGGTTCGAAGACAAACTTCCAGGACCCGTTTCACTCGGGACACAATTCGTTTTTTTCGATGCTTGACTCACCTTCCCCCAGGCCAGCTCTTTATCCCGAGGCGGATCTTGACAGCCCCGAGGACCGAGACCGGCTTCCAAATTGCAGAAACGGCGACACACGTGTCGCCTCGATTTTCCCGATGTTCCCTTCGTGTTGATTCCCCTGGTGCGCCCCGCGTTCCCTCCGCGGGAGGCCGCGTACGTGCTCATGAGGGGCGGCCTGCAGGTCTACGTGCCGTCCTCGCGGCAGGCATCGCTGCTGCATGGCCGCCCCAGCAACGACAGCACTGCGACGGGGCAGCCCGGGTGGTCGCAAGATGTGGTCGTCCGCCTCCCCAGAGCAGGGGTCGACCAAAGCGTTGTGTAGGACAACTTCGCGTACCGCTTTTGTTTGGACCCCGTTCTCGCTTGGCTCCCGTTGCAGGGGCCATTGAGGGCGGATCGCGGTTCCAGAGGGCGCACCAGAAGGCTGACTTCGGGGAACACCCCGGTCTGTCTTCGTCTTGGGACTAAGTGAAACGAAGATTCAAAACGTTGTTCCGGTCGACCCTTGCCCCAGTCTTCTGACGTCTCGAATTACGGTCGGAAATTCTTGGATGGCGTGTCGCTCCGCCAGTTCTGGCCCACCACGCTTCGGCGAGACACGCTATGCATGCCCCCACGTTTCAAGCGTCAACGTGCCGAGCTTTCCCGAGCGTCCCGCCCCGCGGAGCGGAGCGACACGCTGTCCGCTCGTAAGGCACAGCGTGTTGCCGGGGCCGCCGCCGCGACACGCAAGAACAAGCTCCTGCCTACTATTACCAGCCTGGAACATCTCCCTATCCCTATGCTGGGCATCTCCTCATCACGATGCCAATCTTAGGGATTCCCTTATTTTTTGAGGGCGAATCCCTAAGATTGTCATCGCCTTTGGGCGTGGCAATCTTAGGGATAGGGATACGTTCGAGGCTGGTAATATTAACTTGCCGAGGTGTTTCCCCATGTCCAGCATGCATCCAGAGGCGCGTCCCGCGCATTTGGGGGGGCCGGCCACGACTCCGGCGTGGCATGAGAAGCTGGTCCTGGAGCAGGGGTCGAGAGTTCTAGGGCCCAGCGACTCGGAACACAGAGCCGGCCGAGCTTGGCATCGCTGGGACGTGTGCATTTTTCTTTCGGCGAGGGCCATCGAGGAGCATCCTGGATCATTTGACGAAAAAACACGCGCGGAACCGAAACAAAAACACAGGGAATGGACGTCCGAGCGATGGCCAGCGGAGGTCCCACCCACAGGGACACCGTTAGGGGTGGATAGGCCCAGGGGGGGAGCTGCAGCGACCCCCAATCGCCCATCGACCGCCGATCTGTATGGGGCTCGATAGCCCACCCCGGCCAGGAACGTGCGGGTTCGCTATCGGGGCCCCGCCACCGATACATCGGCGATGCGTCGCCGATTCCAGGTCGATGCCTCCTCCCCTGAGCCTGCGCCCCCCCCTCTGCCGTGGCCCCTCATACCCGCGGGCCTGCCTCCCCCCCCTCCCTCCTCCACATGTGGTCGGGCAGGTGCCCCAGCCATCCGCCCGTGTGCCCCGCACGTGGCCCCCGCACTCTTCTCGCGCCGAGCCGGGTGCGTGCCGGGCGCCAGCCTTCCCTGCCGATGGGACGGCCTGCCTCGGCTCGCAGCTCCGGCCTCCGGAGGCCGCTCGCGACCAGCCCGGCCATGCCGGGGACGTTCCCGGCGAGGCGCAGCTGCTGCACCGCATTCCGCAGTTGGAAAGCCGCCGGGGACCGACGGGACCGCCCGAAAGCCTCGGACCTCGACCCCTCGCCGCTCCGCCGGAATCCCAGGCTATTGAGCATGCTGTGGCGCATGTCCCTGTCGAATGAGAGCCAGGAGCGCCTGACGGTCGTGGACGACCACTGCCTCTTCGATCACGAGGGTATCGTCGTGCCGCTGTGCCGGGACACCGTGGTGGTGATGGAGTGTTCCGAGTTGTTGCGCATAGACCGGCAGGCGTTCAAGGCGCGAGGGACGAAGAGGATCAGCAGCAGCGGGAAGAAAGTTGAGGGGACAGGAAAGGAAGAGGAGCAAGAGGAGTGAGTTTGGAGGAGTGAGGAGGAGGGGAAGGAGGAGGAGGCGGAGGAGGAGGAGGAGGAGGAGGGGGAGGAGAATTAGGAGAAGGGAGGAGAGGGGCAGTAGGAAGAGGATGGGTGATGTGGGTCTCGTAAGCGAGAAGTTGCACTGCGCGTTGCAAGAGCAGGCATGGAGGCCGGGGCATCATACGGGTCGCCAGTGATTGGCACCTTTCGGTCGGAGCTAGCGTCGGCGGTGGAGCCCCGCATTGCCGTTAAGTTGTACACCATGCTGTTGGCTCTCGGCCGGGCGCTACAAGAATCGCGGGCGTCAGTGAAAGTCATCGAGTGCGGCCTCCAGCAGGACCTGAAGGTTGAGCAGTGGTCTCAGGTGCAGGTGCCCTTAGGGGTCGTCAAGCTCAGCCATGACAAGATCTCCTGTGAGTAGTCGGGGCAGGGCATGCTGACATGGATCATGCATGACAGGGTGAGGTTCGATGTGCGAGAGTGCTCCGCGCGGTACTTCCGCAAGCTGGCATGCATGGGCCTCGGAGCCTGGCAGTGGCAGCCTCTGGCCCGCAACGTGGGCCTTTTGCATCTGTCCGCGAGTGCGTTGCTGCCTCATCTCGTGCGTGTGCAAGGGCTCCCAGGAGGGCGCGAAGTTATTCGCGCTTCGCGCTTCGCCGTCCTCCTTCCTCCTCCCCCTCCTCCTCGTCCTCCTCTTCTCCCTTTGGGGGGGCGGCGCGAGAGCGCGAAGTTATTCGCGCTTCGCGCTTCGCGGAGCGCGAAGCGCGAAGTTGGGAGCCCTAGTTTGCATCTGTCTGCGAGTGCGTTGCTGCCTCATCTCGTGCGTGTGCTTCGTGGTTCCAGACCTCAGACGGCCCCAGACCTCAGACGGCCAAGTGCAAGGAGCCAGGTCGCCTCACAACAGAGCACAAGCCTACCTGCATAGTGTGACGATTGATGGGCAATGGCCCCTGGTCAGGACGTGCGAAGCTAGGTTCCTTTCTAACTCTGGGTGTCTCCTGTGTCCTGAGATCGGGCCCCTGGTCCACGGGCACTACGAGTGCCAACAATGGGGTGGCGACCCCCCATGCCCGATCGTTTGACGACGTTGCTTGACAGGCTGCTGCACCCATAGGTGCAGCTTTGAGAGGGCGTTGTGGCCAGCACCCACAGCTCCCTGCTGATTTCCAGATCCCGAGCGACGATTGCACCGCGTGGCAGAAGCACGTGGGCGACGGCAGTCCAGCCGCGAGCGAAGATGTTCTCGATTTCCCGCTTTCCGCAGGGGACTCGCGGTGAGCGCGCTCGGGGGGGCGGGCGACCGCTGCCATGCATCCTGAGGACCCGCTGGGTGTGCGTGATGTCATCCACGGTGCGCTGCCATTTTTTTGCACCGTGATATAGACGTGGCTGGGTTGCATGCCCTTATCGAGTTGTTACGAGTGTGTGCTCCGCCCATGGTGGCAGTGATCGACTCGAGCGTTTTCTGTGATGGCGTCACTAAGCGAGGGCTCGTTGCGACCACCGTTGATTGCTCTATCTGGGGGGGTCTGTGGCGTGAACTTGTGGACGGCCATCCAGGACTTCGGGGGCCTTGGCCCGCAAGGGCTCCAGGCTCGAAAAGTCAAGGCCGACCTGTCTGAGTCCGATGTGGACGGCGGGCTCATCTCTCGGAGGGGCCGTGTCGGTAACTCCTGTGTGGACGTGTGGGCGAAGCATGCCGCGTCAACGTATAACCCCGGGAAGCAAACAGTAAACCCCCCGGCGATAACGTTAGCACAGAAAATAAAATAAATAATTATGTTGGGCGGCGCCCTCCGGCGATATCGTTCCCACATAAAAATAGAATAAGATAATCAATTGATTTGCCCCCCCCCCCCCCCCCTTGGGCCCGAAGCTAGCGGCAACGTGAGGCGACAGCCTGAAGAACCAATGCGCACGAACGCTTGCCAATGGGTTCCCGCCTTGCTAGAACACTGGGAAACAGACGCGCATCGGAAATCAAAGGTAAATCAAACATGACAAAGAATGAAATCCCGGGTAATAGCTGTCACGGGGAGCTCCATTTTGGTTGGCCCGCCCAAGTGGGAGGCTCATCGGACAGCAAGGCACCGAAAAAGAGCCGCATTTTGTTGGGGCGTCACACGAATCTCACATGAACATCAAGGGGCCCTTACAAACATCTCCAAGGAACACTAAAGGAATATCAAAAGAACCCCAAAGGAACCTCAAAGGAGTCCCACAGGAATCACACAGGAAACGGCAAGGAATCTCAATAATTTGGAAAACGAGGGCTCGCGTGGACATAGGCAATTCCTATTGCGACAGCGACAAGGAAATTGACTTGTTCAGGGGATCATATGGAAGAACCCACGGAGGGATATCGCAGACGCATTCCGCGAACCCCCCCGCGATATTTTAGCACATTTGTTTATCTAAATGTATAGATACAAAACATACATACATATATATATATATATATGTGAAAAAGTGAGCCGCAGGATCCGGTGGCCCGTGTGCAAGTCATAGGAAACCATGGGAATCCATAGGAATCCAAGGAATCACTCAGGAAACCGCGCCAAGGCTTCACAGAACAGCACCGGGTCGAGCACGACCTGGGGGCACTCCTCCTCCCCCTCTCCCCCGCCCGTCACTCCAACAATTGCGGCTTGAAAGCAGGGCCCAAGGGGACTGGGCATTCAGAGGCTTGTGGAGGCCGGCCTTTCTGGATGCCTCCTGGGAACCTCTGGGGACCTCCCCTCCGCGGACCTCTGGTGACCTGCGGGGGATATCGCTTCCGCCCGGGCCCCGGTGCCGGAAGCGATATAATTTCCTCTGATGAGGGGGGGGGGAGGGGGGTTTACTGATTGCTTCCCAGGGTTAAGCTGTCGCCAGAAGCCCGCGAGAAGTTTCGCAAGTCTCGGGTGTTGGTTGAAGACTGTCGCACTGGCTTGTACGAGTCGGAGCAGCCACGAGCTCGCGAGGTACCGTCACACACCAGACCTGGGGCCAGGGCCCTGAGCAAGGCCCCTGGAGGCCTGGTCGTGGAGTTGCCCAAGCTCTTTCATGAGCTGCCCGGTCCCCCGGGTGGCGTCGGGTAACCCAACCATCGGCCTTGGAGTGTCCAGAGTCTGTGGTGTCCGGGGCCGTTGGCGCCAACAGAATGTTGCGAGGAGGTGGGGGAGGGGGTCACAGACTGGCGCACTGCCGAACAGCGTGATGTGTCCGCCCGGATTGTGCAGTCGTTGCGTCTGTTTTTTGTGGAGCGGCATCGCCTCGCCAGATCAAGTCGCTCCTTCAACCATGCAAAAGTTCTGGGGTCCATGGCCAACGAGCCGTTCTGGTGTTGAAGGAAGGTGGGGCGCCCATGTTAAAGGGGCGAAGGTCGCGACTACAGTACCCGCGGCCAAGTAGGGTGAGGAGGAGGAGGAGAAGGAGAGACAGAGGAGGAGGAGGAGGAGGATGAGTTAGATATTGGAGATAGGAAAGGAGGGGGGAGGGAGGAGGAGAAGGAGGAGGAGGAGGAAGTCACAAGGAAGGAACAAGACGAGGTGGAGGATGAGAGGGGAGGAGGAGGAGGAGGAGGAGGAGGAGGAGGAGGAGGAGGAGGAGAAGGAGGAGGAGGAGGCGGAGAAGGGAGGAGAAGGAGGAGCAGGAGGAGGAGGACACCTCCTGCAGTGGGGCCGCGCATCAAGAAACCATGTGTTGTTCGTCAGGGTGCCTCGTCTTTCTTCGCTTCGCGCGCTGCGCGGTGTTCCCCCGCGGCCGTTGAGAATGCGATCGGGGTGCTCTGGGCTTCCCGCGAGTTGCACCTCGCGCGCGGATTTCAGGATTTGGTTTTTTGCGCCTGCGTCCCCACGGTATCGTCAATTGCAAGGTCACTTCAGAATCGCAGGAAGTACGAGGATCGGGCGAGAGGGAGAGGGAGAGTAGGAGGAGGAGGAAGAGGAGGATGATACAGATACATGTACATAACGATCCACAGCGAAACAAGACACTGCTGAGTTTCAGGGCCATTGGAATGCCATTCATAAGCAGGGGGAACTGACAAGACACCAGGACGAGGAGGAGGAGGAGGAGGAGGAGCAATGTGTTTGGCTCTTCGGGGGGTCTTCAGTGGCCTCTGGAGGCCGAGGAAGGCGAAGAGGAGGACCAGCAGCAACGCTGAACGCGGGAGAAAAGCGGGGTAGGAGGGGAGGCGGCACGGGGTAGCGCAGCGGATCCCGCCGCCAGCGCTGGCGTCGTCACCGTCGTCGTCGTCGTCATCGTCGTCGTCCTCCTCATCACCAGCATCATCACCATCAGATCATCATCATCATCATCATCATCATCATCAGCAGCAGCAGCAGCATCATCATCATCGTCATCATTGTCGCCGTCTTCCTCGTCATTTTCGTCGTCGTCAGCGTATGCGTCGTCGTGGCAGTGGTCGTCCTTGGCGCTGGCCATCGTCGTCGTCGTCGTCGTCGTTGCCCGGCCCTCGCGAGGAGGCGATGAAGGAACTGCGTGTCCGGCGCAACCACGCGCGGAATCGCCGCCGCGAGTTGGAGATGCAGAGGCTGCGCATGAGCGACTCGGTGCGGTCGAGCCACTCGAGGGACCTTCGCACGAGCGACTCGATTCAGGAGATGCGGGTGCGAAGGTAGGAGGAGGACGAGGGGGAGGAGGACGAGGACCAGTGTAAACCCAAGACTCATCAACGAAGTCGAAATAAACCTTCCCTCCAAGATCCCGTTTCACAGGCCCCTACAAGGGGTCATTTCCACTGAGGGAATTGCCCCGTTGGGGGACAACCGTGTGATCATCCTGAAACATGCCAAAACACCATTCTCAGGATTTCAACGCCACGAGGTAACCTGACTGGCACGTCTTGGTGATCCTGAATCGCGCCAGAAATCCATTCCTGGGTCTTCAACACCGCGAATCAGCGTAACTGCTGCGCCCTGGCAATCCTGAATCGCTCCAAAACACCGTTTCTGGTATGTTAACCTTGAGAATCCGTGGAACTCTTGCGAAGATTTAAAAATCATGTGCGCTGCGCTATTGCGAGAGCCACATTTGGAAATGGAGCCGCCCTCAATCCGTTGAACCCTTGCAAATGTTTAAAGCGGATGTGCGCGGCGCTAAGGCGAGAGCCACATTTCGAAAACGAGCTGCCTTCAATCAGTGCGACTCTTGCAAGTTTAGAAACGAATTTGCGCGGCGCTACTCCGAGAGCCACATGTTGCAAACCACCCGCCCTCCATTTGCGAAACTGCTGCCAATTTCTTAGCTTCAGGATCAAAAATGGTAAGGATGTCTCAGGCGAAACGCCCGGCCTGCCCTTTCGACCTGCCTCGGAGTGCGACAGGGACGAGAGATCCACCAGGGAAAGGAATGGAAGAGGAGGAGGAGGATGATGATGAGGAGGAGGAGGAGGAGGAGGGCAGGAGGGGGGCAGCGGGGAGGCGGGGGACGTTCAGGCTCGTGTGTCCGTCCACTCGGGCTCCAGCAGCTACCCCATGTGGCAATCGGTCGAGTCCGCCAACGTGGTCAGGTTCCGGAGGGACAGCGACTGCGAGTCCATCGCGGACGACTCGAGAGGAGGCCCGCAGAGCCCCAAGCGCCGACCTCCCCCTCCGCTTTCCCTGATGAGCCCTGGTAAGGTAAGGCTGCGCACAGACAGCCCCCCCATGTGTTTCCGGCTGGCCTCCACAGGCCCCCGAGTAGCCCAGGCCAGTCTCAACATTTTGGCGTCGCCTCTGGCGGCGCCACTCGGGCGCTCCGCGCCCCAGGGTCTTGGCATCGCTCGGACGTCGGCGAGGACCATCGAGGAGCATCCTTGATCATTTGGCGAAAAAGCCACGCACGAAACCGCAAAAAAACATAGGAAGTGGACGTCCGAGCGATGGCCAGGGGTTGGGGTGTTGAGAACGCCCCAGCTTACTCAGGGGGCTGTTGAGGCCGGCCGAGACTACCTGGGGGGTGCTGTCTGCGCGCACCACGAGCAGTGTTGGCACTGGGTGTATCTACAAGGACAGTGGCCCGCTCGGCCTGCGTATCGCAATGTCCACGCCGAGGAGCATGCGGCCTGCTGAGGCAGCGATTCGCGAACCGTTTGGGCAGACGCCCTGGCGGGGCTTGGCGATTCCGCTCGAGCGGGAGCGCCAGCTCGGCCTTTGCACCAGGTCGGGCCGTGTCGACAATGAAGGCGCGACGCCGTGTTTGTCCCAACCATCCTGTGGTGTCTGGTCCTCGTTTTGAATGGACAGCGCCCCGCGTCACTCCTTCCTGCTCCTGCTCATCCCTCCTCCCACCCCTGCCTCTGCCCTCCGCAGATCCTTGTCGGCACACTCCTCACACGCTTCGTGGCCCCATGGGGAGCTCCATTTAAGGCACCAGTGGAAGGGTCCGCATGCCACCACCGCAGCCATTCTGGCACACCCCTCACACGTTTCGTGGCCCCATAGGGAGATCCACCGAAGGCCCAAACGCCATGATCCGCATGCCACCAGTGCACCCAATTCGGCAGACCCCACACACGTTGCGCGGCCCCATAGGGAGCTCCACCGAAGGGCCCAGTGGCACAATGGCAAAGTCCGCATGCCACCACCGCACCCTTTTGGTCAACTCCCTCACCCGCTTGGTGGCCCCATAGGGAGCTCCACCGAAGGATCCAGTGGCAGGGTCCGCATGCCACCACCGCACCCAAGTCGGCACACCCCTCACACGCTTTGTGGCCCCATGGCGAACTACAACGAGGGCCCCAGCGGTAGGTTCCGCATGCCACCACTGCACCCATTTCGGCACGCCCTTCAAACGTTGCGTGACCCCATAGGGAGATCCACCGAAGGCCCCATTGCCAGGATCCGAATGACACCATTGCACCCATTTCGGCACACCCCTCACACGCTTCGTGGCCCCATAGGGAGCTCCACCGAAGGCCCCAATGGCAACGTCCGCACGCCACCACCGCAGCCACTTCGGCACACCCCTCACACGCGTTGCGGCCCATAGGGAGCTCCACCGAAGGCCCCAGTGGCAGGGTCCGCATGCCACCACCGCGGCCATGTTGGGACACCACTCACACGCTTTGTGGCCCCATAGACAGGTCATCCGAAAACGGCACCCACAATGCGGCATTCACAACTGCATATGGTTGGGCCCCTCGACAAAATAATGTTTCGCTCTGGGGTCGTTCGTTGGTTCTGCCAGACGTGAGGCATTCCAGAAATGGCCGCGCCTTCGGGGATCGAAGGCGTTGGCATCTCTTCCTCGGCGGAAGGCGGCGAAAGTCAAATGTGGGCGGCTCCGCCAGCGGAAGCCGGCAGAAGGCCGGCGGAGGTACAAGATGCGCCCCCCGAGAGATGGCAACATTTGTGGGTTCAGAGCAGAGATCTGTTCAACTTTGCCAGACCTGCCGATTTGTACCCCGTGGTGTCTCAGGCGAAAGAGGCTCTTGTGTCTGCTTCCCTGGTCAGCCTGCCGCTGCCTGGTCCTTCGGTCAGGACGGCACAAGGAAGGGACAAGTTAGAGGGCCGTACCGTCGTTGCGCTGAAGAAGGAGCCATTTTTTCGTTGGGGAGGGGTCGGTGTCCCTTGATTGTTTCACAGCTTGCCTCGGGTGTTGCTTATGTTTTTCGAAGGGGAGATCGAGGTTCAACGTATGGAAAAAAAGGGGCCTCGTTCCTTATTTGGGGCTCCTTGGGCCAGCGCCCCGACGTTGGCCTCGGGGAGCAGGGTATTTGGGGGCTCAGGTCCTCGGCGCCGCCCTCAGTCCCCACGGTGTGCTCGACGCGCTCGAGCTGTGGTCTCAGGAAGAGCTCCTCGCTCCGACCGGCCTTGGGAAGGCAGGGCAGGTGCTGGTGGGGGTTATCTTCGGGAGGGAGTCTGCACCTCCCTCAGTCCCCAGGGTGTGCTCGAAGCGCCCGATCTGTGGTCTCAGAAAGATCTCCTCGCTCCTATCAGTTTTGGGAAGGCAGGGTAGTTTTGGGTAGGCAGTTTTGGAAAGGCAGGGGGAAAAAACACACAGGCACAATGAATCGTCGACTCTCAGGAAAAGGTGTGAACGTATGGGAAGTGGGGGGGGCGACGAGAACCCAGAAAATATTGGAAAATGTTGGGGATCCTGTTATTTGTGTGTATTGTATGTTCTCAGAACGGTTTTCCTTGCCAATGCGTCTGAGCCGCAGAGGGTGAAACACCTCGTCTGTCCAGTGGTGCCTAGACGCGCCCCGTCCTGGGCTCGTCTCTCCAGTCTCCCTGGGGCTTCGCGGACTTTTTGGCTCAAGCTCGCTTCGCTCGCGCGGTCCGTATGCGGCAGTTCTTCGGTGCTGGATCGCCGCTGGCCGTGCTGGTCAGCCGGGCCGCCTCCTGGGTATCGCCGGGAGTGTTCGAGGACTTCGCGGATTGCGCCCTGCAGCACGCTGTCTTTGGGGGCGCCCCGACACTGGGCCCCGTGTGCCTTCTGATTGGCATCATCATCGGCTGGTGCTCTTGCGGCTGTATCTATGGAGTCTGGCAGGCGGCTCGAGTCCTCTTTCTTGACCTCAGGATCACGCGTCCTGGTGAAGTATCAGGGAGAGCGGGAGTGGCACGAGAGGCTTCTGGTTCGTCCAGCGAGCAGGAAGATCTACAGTCAGTACGCTGGAGCCGACCCCCTCCCCCACCTCGTGGATTTTTGGTGGATCGTCACTCCAGACATGGACGTGCACCCGGAAGCTCTGGAGATCGGCCCCTTCTCAGGGCTCGCAGCCCTCCACAAGAACGGCTCCCGAGTGGAAGGGAGCCTGGTGGGGTCAGGGCCCTGCCTCTCTCACGTGCACGGCTTCGACGGCCTGCCGACCTTCGCGGAGATGAACGAGATCCTTGGCGAGTGCGAGGCTGAGGAGGGCGATCGCCGCGAGATCCCGCTTGCTGACGGTGGGGACCAGCTGGTCGCCGCAGGGTTCGCTGGGGGCTCGGGAGTGCTTCCTAAGCCCGGTCGCGGCGCCTGGCGGGCTCTCGCCGCCTCGCGCGGGGGCCTTCGAGGGGATGTCGGAGCCATCGAGTGGGACCAGTACGTGTTGGCGGAGAGCCTCGGCCTGGGTCGCTCTGGTGACGAGTTTGCTCTATTCAAGTGCTTCAACGATGAGGATCACGGCATGGGTGATCTTGTCGACTTCGAGGAGCGTCCCGAGGTCGGGGGCACGTCTACTCCCCGCGAGCTCGACGCTCGAGTGCTGACCGTGACACGTGACGGGAACGGGATCCGCTTCAAAGATTTCAGAGAGGGTGTGAACCAGATCTCCAGCTCGGACTGGGGTGGGTGGCCGCTCTCTGGTCCTCGGACTGCGCAGTGGTGCTGCAACTACATCCCCCAGACGGACGGCCACCCTCGCGCCCGCCACACTCGATGGAAGAGGGATGCGGGCCTAGGCGCGGGGGATATCGGAGTCGCAGAGCACGAGGTCGCGATGCGCTGCCTGGAGAATGCGATCTCCTACGACCAGCTCAACGTGGGGGAGCTCGCTTGCATGGAATTATTGCTCAGGCGGACCCAGCTGTCGGAGCTGAAGCACAAGGAGCGCCTGCTGCAGGTGGATGTTGCCAACGACTACGGCGCCGACGAGTACCTGTACATGGGCACGAACGTCACGAGGGGCCAGGTGATGGTGGCGCCCGAGCTCGAGGAGTTCGCGTCGTCGCAGCTTCAGAAGGAGGGGTCCGTGCTGAAGGAGAGGAGGAAGCTCATGGAGGAGCGCTCGTTGCTTCGCCCCGTTCGCCAGCACGCCGCGCCCGGCTCTGGCGACACCACTGCCGACGCCGCGGCCGCCAAGCGCAAGGCCAAGAAGGGCGGCGGCAGAGGCGAGGGGGCGGGGTAGCCGCTCCAGTGCACCTCGGCTTGTGTGCCTGGCTTGGCTGCTCGACCTTGCTGGGTTTCTGACAGAGCAGGCTGCGTGGCGCAGCCAGCACTTCGTGGGCCTCCCCATGAACGTGCCTCGGGAGCTCTTCCCTCTTCCTCTTCCATTTCCTGATTCCAGTGGCAACGACTTCCTGGACAGATCGGCAGCCTGCCGCGCGGTCCGTAGACGAGCCAACGCGAGTACTAGTTGGCGTTTGTGGGCCAACGAGACGACGAGGAGCCTCAACCGCATGTACGGCTGCTCGGACTTCGACTCGACGGTCTTCAAGCCGTCGGTCGGTCAGCTGAATATTTTGGAGCGGATCTCCGATCTGCTGGCATCAGTTGGCCCTCCGTCTTGCACTTCCGCGGAAGCCTTTCATGAGCTTTGCGGCGCCCGAGCGGGACCTGGTTACGACTTGGTCGACGCCCCGAGGGCGAGGTACCAGCCAGGGTTGGTCTCGCTGCCTGATGAGGGTGGCCTGACCGACGGCAGTGCTTGCTTACGTGGTGCTGCGCATGACTTCTGGTGCCAATGGCAGGAACTCCTCTTGGCGAAGGAGCCGGCCTCTGATGACAGTGCCCCCGAGAAGCCTCATTCGGACTCTGCCTTAATTCACAATAAGTGGGAGTACGCTAGATTTTGCTCATCGCTGTTCAACGCGAATATGTTGGAGGTTGGTGACTACGAGGAGCCGACCGTCGGAGTCCTCTTTGTGCTGAAG